TATTGACGGCCTACGAGATCTGCCAATCGCAGCTCTCAATTGGCGTCACATCACGTCTAATCGGATGCGTCAAGTGATACCAACTATCTGGGTTGCCTTAAACCTTCGATCCCACTATCATGACGTGCGGGAGACGATCCCACGCTGTGAAAGGCGATGAATGCAAGGCAGCCGAGTTGTGATGTATCAGAAAATGCCATCCTCTTTAAGAGCCCCTTGTGCAAAAGGAGTTGAAGAGAGGACATGCCGGGCTCGTAGGGCTTGTGGTACACAAATGCCGAAGATCTCCTGATATTGATAAGCTTGATTTATGAGTGGGTGTTCACTAATAATTCTTGGCCTGGTATGGGGAACTGGGAGCATCTTGGCTCATGAGAGTTGCGATGAGACGTCATGCCCGTCAGACGCCTCTTGCATGTGAAGACCAACGGTCCTCGGATAACCTTGGCTTTACTAAGTTTACTCGAATTAAGTTGAGATTGATAATTAGTCTAGCTCGCCAATCGTTCAAGTCGACAGCGGGTTTTAGGATTTTACTCTCACGGAGAGTCCGTCAGTTCAAGACAGGCTCGGTGGTAGTCGGTCTCCGTCTTCCCTAGGTAGTTGTTACCAATAGGGCGTACGCATTGACTCATCACTCTCCTAGACTACCACTCACGATATGACTACCTATTTCTCGCTGCACTGTGGCCAACAAGTGAGCCCCTCTCCGGTCGGGTCAACGGACAGCCGTGTTGACAGTAGAGGGCAAATGACCTCGTAGAACGGAAGTTTCGGAGTCGCGAAATTGCGAAATGATTCCATAAGGTAAGATTTATATCGCGATAATTATATCCACCAGCGGAATTAACCATAAGTTTACAGCTTATGGTTATTCAACTCTTGAGAGACAAAAGTGCGACGACTTATACCAAGTGAAAACGTTCGTGATTCTTTGATGACGACACAGTCGACTCTGAGCTCTGGTGCTAATACCTAACGCGGAATTAGTGCTGACTTTCGGGAGGATGAATGAATAATCATGGAATGAAACTGTCAAATAAGAGTCTAGAATCTCCCCAAGCCCAGCCCAGATGTTAGTGTCCCTCTCTGCTCTGCTCTGCTCTGATCTGTCCGCCACGGAGCCGAGTGAGGTGTTAACCCCGTCTGTCTCCGCCGCCCGCACTATCGCCCTAACTAAATCGAAGAATCACAAGGACGTGCATCCCCGGGATTTTAGGGGCGTCTAGGGCGTCTGGGCGCTGTCAGCTCGGATCGTTTTCTTGAGTAGTGCTGGCGTTGGTGCCAAGGCAGGCACCACTTTAGTTGGTTTTTAAGGGATCATCAATACGACAAACAAGCAGACCTCCACCACAACTGTGGTCGCCCTGCCCGCCCTGATCAGAAGTGCCCTGGAAGTCTCAACTGAACCCCCCACCCTCCAATTAACCCGGTCGAGTCCCATCCATCCACCTATCCATCTTCCCTCTGCAACTCAATCACAGACCAAACGTTCTGCGTCTTTTCTCACCTTATGTTTCACAAAAACAGCCTTCTCAGCCTCTTCTTGGCTTTTTGAGGGCTTCACGACAGGTTCTCTGTCTACAGCTGCATGATTTGACGTTACGCATTTCCTCACCTTGCATTGCAGTCGAGGTTTCGTTAGCCTGCGTTACCGCACCCGCATCCGTATCGCATCCAACGTTGATGGCCTCGCCCGCATTCCGTTCATCCCTTGCCCGAGCCCGAGTCCGCGGATTCTCCGTACATCATTTGCCTGGTCTTTTCCAGGTTCTTCGAATATCGTAAACAATCTATTGTTGTCGCCATCTTTGACTTGATCTTGATCTTGCACTCAAGACGATACAAACAATGTCGGCCTACCTCGAGGGCATGGCCCTCGGATTCGGCTTCAATGTATCTGAAGGGCTTGATTCTGCGCAACAGTCCACAGCATCGCCTTCATCCAATACCCAGCAAGATGCTTCGTCCCACACCCAACCGAATTCTTTTCAAGGCAACGTTACTGTCTATCAGACAACAGGGCCTGACGCCCATACAAGCCCAATCCACCTGCCCGGAAGCAACACGCCCGCCCTGAATCCGCGATCATGCGTAACCTGCCGCCGTCGGAAAGTTCGATGCGACAAGCAGATGCCGTGTTCCAACTGTCGTCGAGCACAGATTCCCTGTGTCTTCCCCGCCCCCGGAAGAGCTCCGCGGCAGCCGCGCCGAAAAGACCCAAATGCGCCCACCAAGAACTCAAGCCAGCGCGAGATAGAATTGATGAAGAGACTTAGGAAGCTGGAGGGCATTGTGGAAGAGCTAAGCGGTCAGATTGAGGTTGAATCTGGCGGCAAAGGCCCTTCATCAACCAATTCGCCCGAAGCGCATGCAGGTCAAAGCACATCGTTTGACGCCTCGGCGCATAATACTCAAAGACAACCGTCCAATGCAGGGTCTCATGCAGGCAACATTGGAAGGACTGATGACAGCCCAAGGGGCAGCGATGCTACAAGTGAACAGAGCGAGACTGCTCGCAAGAATATGCATAAAAAGTTTGGACGACTGGTTTTGAGCGACACTGGAGGAAGCCAAAGATACGTTAGTCATGGTTTTTGGTCGAAACTCAATGACGAGGTTGGTCAGTCCCTGGTATTGTTGCTAATGTTTGACTGACTCTGTCTACCAGCTCGATTCAATACGTGAAGAGACTCAGAAGCTTACTGATGAAGACTTGGATGAGTCTGAGGAGGATGAAACTCCAGATACCTCACCCGCATCCGCACTCTCAGGGAACCACAATGCCTGGATATTTGGTTACCGCTCTGCAGACGTGGATCTCGATAAATACTGGCCCCTGCCTTCCCATATACCGTTCCTATGGTCTGTATATCAGGAGAATGTGGAACCGTTGCTCAAGGTGCTGCACATTCCAACCATGGAGCCCATCTTTCGGGATGCGCGAAAAGATCACAAACAACTGTCTCCTGCAAATGAAGCGCTCGTCTGGTCAATATATTATGCTGCACTTACATCCCTGGAACCTGACGAGGTAGGAAGACACCCTTAACTATAAGCAAGGAGAATGCTAACTTACGAACTCAGGTGCGAGCTAATCTTGGACTCAACAAGGAGGACGTTGTTGTGCAGTACCGTTTCGCAGTCGAACAAGCCCTCGCCAAAGCCAACTTCCTGAACTCGTTGGAGACTCCAATCATGCAAGCGTTGATCATCTTTATTCTCGTGGTCAAAGGCCAAGATTTAAGTCGTTTCTGTTGGTCTTTAACCGGTTTGGTAGCACATCTTGCTCAAGGCATGGGCCTCCATCGCGATGGGTCGCACTTCGACCTAAGTCCTTTTGAAACCGAGATGCGAAGGCGTCTCTGGTGGGCGTTGCTTCTATTGGATCTCAGATCAGCCGATGAGCTGGGTACTGATCTTATCATCCAAGACTTTAATTATGACACACAAATGCCGAGCAATATCAATGATACCGACATCAAGCCCGACTCAACGGAGGCCCCCGAGCCCAGAGAAGGTCACTCTGACTGTTCGCTGGCACTTGTTCGTTTCGAAATTGCTGGCTTTGGACGGCGTCTAGTCCGACTATCATCCGCCTCAATGTCGTTCTGCCCCCAGGGAATGCCTTACAAGGATACCAGCCTTGCCGAGCGAGAACGCATGCTCATCGAGGTTTACAATAGAGTGGAGGAAAAGTTTTTGAAACACCACACTGGCGATTCTGATCCGTTACATTGGATGGCTGCTTCAATTGCGCGCGTCATCATGGCCAAGATGACGTTGGTAATCTACCAGCCAGTCCTCTTCCCAGGCTCCGAGGGCGAAGGTACACTTTCGGAAGAAGCAAAAGAACGTGCCTATGTCGCAGCGATTGAGATTGCGGAATACAATCACATCTTGAATAACGACTCGAGGTCTAAACAGTTTAGGTGGCTGTTCAAAACCTACACCAACTGGGCAGCTATGGCCTACTTCCTCATCGCTAGTTGCCGTCGGCCATGGACTCCTCTTGTGGAACGCGGATGGGGGGCCGTCAGTGGATACGAGGGTGGACCAGGACAACTGGTGCGATCTGCCGAATACGCAACTGTTGTGATGCCTATCAGGAAACTTTACATGAGAGCCCAAAGGCACCGCGCAGCAGAGATCACTCGACTTCGCGGAAATCCTGAAGAAGCACGTCGGCTGGAATTCGAAGAAAGGACGAACCCAAGATACCAGGCCAGGTTTGGGCAAGACGCGGACGGTGCAGCCAACAAGATGGAGGAAATGAGGGAGAAATGGAAGGCTCTGGTGCGGTCTGACGGAAGTAACGTGCCAATGTCGACGCCAGCTGAGCTGAGCCCTGTTATGCCACCGTCGATGCTCCAGCCAAAACAAGAACAAACACCATCCCGCCCTCGGACACCATCAGCCTACGACGTTCCGGGGACGCTCGACCTTTCTGATACGACCATGGGCTACATGAATGACCTAATGGCAGACACCACACCCTTCCCCATGGTGAATTTCTGGCCACTGCAGGATGTCGGCTCTGTTCAAATCAAGGCCATGGGTACGGGAATGACGCCAATGCCAAACATGTCTCAAGATACGACGCAACATGGAGATACTGGCCAACAGTTTTCACCACAGACCATGCAATTCCCCAAGGACGACAACCCGCCCCCTTACCTCTGGGGCGGGCAGTTCCCGTCGATAAACGCAAACTTCGATAACACAGGCTTGGACGATGTTGATATGCTTGGAGATGACTTCAACTGGCATACCTGGAGCCAGAATGTTCGCGGTTTGTAGATAGGATCGTACTGAGATACACGGTCACTGACAGACTGTGTTGCCAGATAGTCGATATTGATTAATCATCGGAGTGTATTGGGAGTGGAGTAGCTAGCTACTTGCTTATCTATTATGTATGATACCCGGCGGAGTAAGCATGAGGTGGACGATAATAATTCTAGACCATCTTTGATGAGGTGATATCTCTTAGACCATCTTTATCGAGGATGCATCTTTGACGCTGCAGGATATTCCAGCACTTGACCCGTGCTCTGGCCCGTGACGTGTAGGAATGTCCGCATGTAATTGCCCGGGCTATCCCACCAGCAACACGTATGTTCGTGAACAAACTTTATCAGCTGTTCACCGGGTCCAAAGGCGACAAGATCTGCCACGTTTAGCAACATCTGATAGTCCTGTGTGTAGCAACTGGCTTCAGCTTGCTCATGTCTCATTCGATCAGGGATATAAAGTCCATAAACCGCAGGGGGAATGCCAGCTCTGAGGAGGAGGGTAGTCAGGAACAAACGGTACAAACGCCCGTTTCCATCCACAAAGGGGTGAATGAGGATGAAGCGGTGGCAGAATCGGCAGGCTTTCCAGATCCTTTCTTGGATATCATCCTCCGGTTTCAGCGGGAGCGGGGTCGTATCTAGGGATTCCATTTCCATCGCAAGCTCGGTGATCATGCCGAGCATTGCAGAGGGGATCTGAAGAGGATCCAAGAAACGCGGGTCGCGGGTCATACCCCATTGACGATAATTCCCGTCGCCGCCCCAAGGCTCTTGCGGACTGGGATCATCATTGTAGGTAAGAAGGCGGTTTGCCTCCTTGAAGGTGGCCTCATCAAAGCGTTGTCTATGAATGACGATTCTTGTAATCAGGTATTTTGCAGCCTTGGCGTGTTGCAGTGTTTCCCGGTAACATTTCATGACGCTTTCGTAAGACCGGGGTATTTTCAGGAATTCTAAGTGATCTGTGATTTCTTCGTACACAGAATCGCCCTTAGTAAGCTCTTCTGGGATCGGCAGTTCATTAAATACTGCATGACAAATTCTGTAGGTTGTATCGAGACTTCCGCCTGCCCCCAATATCATGTTTGATCCGTAGATTGTGCGGCTGAGAACCTCCATTAAGCTGTTGGGCTCTACCTGCCCCATGCTTAAGCTGAGGGACTCAAGAAACGGGCTAACGAACGGGCGTGGTACTCCCGTCGTCGCGAAGGAGTAAGTTTCAGGTTCCGTCGTGTTAGCTTCCATGATAACTAACGGAAGGGTTTAGTATATGGAGTGGGCTTTGGAGAATGGAATGCGTTGATGATATTCACCTAAGAGTTGAGACAAAAATAGTTAAGAGAAAGAAAAGATTGGGAGGAGAGTGATGGGAAGGGAAGGTAAATATTTATAGGTACCTACGTAGGCTTGGGGAAGGAGTTGCTTGACTGCAGAGAAAGAAGAAAGAGACTCTAAGAAAGTTCAAGTTATGAACTGAACTGGAAGTTTAGATAGGAAGTACTAGCTATAGAGGGAGGTTGCCTAAAGCTTCCTGATAATAAGTTTTTGATAATGGTTCTCGGAACTATGAGACTCAGTTAACTTATGCCAGAGTTTAGAATACCTAAGCTTCCTAAATGATAAGAGGTTAGGATAACTCTCTTGGTTATAGACAGAGTTGTTCCATCTATGATACGGTATACGCAAAACTCAAACTCAGAGTCTCTTTATCATTTATAGTGTCTTTCCCTAAGTACCTTGTTATTTACTGACTCATATAACTTGGTATGTGGATCCACCGTGAATGCAAAACTCACTCATCCGCGATATCTACAATTCGACAGTTTCTATGTCTACGAAACCCTAACTCAGAGCTTCTCGCTATCAGCTTTAACCTTTCTCTCCTCTTCTAGTGCATCTTCTCTTCGCCTCACTTCAACATTGGTTGGTCCTCCTTTACCAAAGTTAACAAGGACCACATGCTCCCAATCGCCACCTCGCTCGGACCCCCTGAGCTCTGGTCCTGGTTTGTCCAACCCGAGAACTATTCTCTTGTCCTTTTGTCTAATGAAAAGATTATGAGGACTCATGACCTTCTCACTCCACGGAATCATGGCTGTCTTGTGTGCTTGACCCTTTTCTGTCTCTGCTGTGGGCACTCGGTTCAAAAAGGACAGTAAGTTTTCTCTCTGCACTGTGATTCGACGAGATCCTTGCCCATCTGACGATGCCATTGAGTTCTGGAAGACTTTGGCGACTAAACTCAGGAGGAAGTACTGCGGTGGGAATAGGATGATGCTATTTGTGGCGGCACGGGCGAGGAATGATTCCGCCGGTGCAAAGAGGGCTGCTGTGTGTTCGATGCCATTGTCTGGTGTTGGGATGAGCATCTCTGATGGCATGTCACTTTGTGACTGCGGTAGCATGTAGAGATACATCTGCGTGGTGAAGCGTTTTGTGTTGGTGGCGGGTGTGATCCAGCGCGTAAAAGGGATGAGGCCATCTGTTCTCAGTCAATATCACTTCACCGTAATCTGCGTCGACTCATCCTTACCCAAGTCTGGCTCTGCGCCTACTGACTTTAACCACTCTAGGAACTTGACTTGGTTCCCATGTATCATTTTTCTGGCAGTGTCTCTGTCCTCAACTGTCAGGTTTACCAGCTCGTTGTCCTTCTTGGCCAGTAAGATACCAGTCTCCTCAAAGGTCTCTCTGATAGCACCAATTCTGTACGCGAGTCCATCGTGATGTCTCTCTGGGGATTCTTCAGCCGGGATGATGCCATCATGATAAGGGTCTAGATTTCCACCAGGGAAGACGTGCGCCGAGGCGAATGACGTAGAGGTGTGTACGCGGTGCAGTAGTAGGACCTCGTTAACAGGTGAGACTAGTAGAACTGAGGAGCTTGGCCGTGGCTCTGAAGGCGGAGGCTTGTTCACTGAGGATGAATGGCTTCGTGAAATCATAACGGGCAGATATATCTGGGGTATGAAGTTGAAGTTTTGTCTCTGAGCGGTCAAGTTTGTGTCACGGAAGAGTTGACGCGACAGGGAGCGTCGAGTGACACAAAATAACAAAGACATGAGGAGTAACTACCTCTTAGGTATAGGGAAACATATATGGCCAATAGATTTGCAGCATGACTATAAGTTGATACTTGTAGGGGGCCATGTGAGGTCTTGAAGCGCGGTTCAGGTGTCGTCGAGCCGAGGTTCCGCTTGGTGATGGCTTTGGATCGGCTCCGAATGCATGGCCGGGCCAGAGACCCCGCTTCGCCGGAGGCATATTCTAGTACAGCAACTCAAGAATGAGTAGAGTATGTATCTTGTTGTTTTGTTGATAAAGGCGTATTTAAATTTCACTGGCCACTTATTATTATCGTCGCAAATGGGAGAGATAACTGTAATGCCAGTGTTTTGTATTGTTGCTGAAATACCGACTTAGACAATGACAACACCAAGCTTAGACTTAGAGCAGCAAGTGTAAACCATTAAGCAATTGGATATGTATTCAAGACCATTTTTAGTGGCCAGCCAATATCATATAGATCTCAAGCACTTGGAAATTAGGGCCATGCCAACCATGTTAATTCAACTGCTTAATGGAATGCTTATTCCAGGGTAGACAGGAGGCATCAACAAGAGCTCTGCACACCAACACAGACAAGCTCTACCAAGGTACTTGAAACTCTGGAGTTGTCATACCCGAATTAACTACTGATATAATTGAATGAATTGATAATAAAAAGATAACCATGGACTTGCCAAGCTCATGTCAACATGAATCGCAAAAACAGCAAAAAAGAAAGCACATCTCAATCATGAATCTGTATTTATAGGAACAGCCCGATGCGGGGGTCGAACCCGCAACCTTGAGATTGTGAACTCTTAAGAGTCTCACGCTCTACCGATTGAGCTAACCGGGCGTGCTTCGCCGGGGATCAAGCCGGATTGATGGCAGCAGAGAGAGAAAGTTTGAACTATATTGATTACTCTCAAATGCGTGTGATTGAGGCGCCTTGGTTGTGGTGTGGGCTCCAGAAATAGTGTTAAGTGACTGGCGGTGTTTGATTGGCGGACCCATTTCTGCAGGTGCACTGCAGTCACGTGAAATGATCGCACCTTCCTCGTCTAGGGTTTGTCCCCCACGAAAAATCAAAATTGCCCTGAAAACTGAAGCTACTGTCAGTTTGTTCATCTCGAGACCCGAACCCGACCACGACCACGACCTCTTTCACGAAGTAACGCCACACTAACCCTTCAGACAAAATGGCCAAGATCTCGTAAGTCGCTCTCGAATACCCTCAAGAAGACTCTCACTTTACGTCTCTTGTCTCTTGTCTCTTGTCTCGCTTTCTCGCCATCTTCGAATTCTGTCTGTTCTGTCTCCTCCGATGCGCAAAAAAAGAGTTGGGAATTATTTCGAGTGTTGGTTTTGGCGGGGAAACATGGCGACCAATTTTGTGCCTGCGCACACAACGAAATTCAACGACAATATCATGAGAAACACGGCATCACTGGGTTGACTAGTGACGACGACATTCATTGCTCTTCTGCCTTGAATTTTTTCAACTCGACTTCGACGATAATGGCTTGATACACACACACTGTTCAAGTCCAGGTTCCTCCGACGGGCAGATTTTGGCAGAAAATCGACATGGCGAGAACGAGAACAAGAGACACAAAGACGAGATGTTAAGACATCAAGAACAACATACTGACTCACTCTCACAGCCGTGGTGCCCCTGGTGGCAAGCTCAAGATGACCCTGGGTCTCCCTGTGTACGAAAACCTCCCACTACCTACTGTTTAACCCCAACGAACCAGCAAACTGACTCCCCTCTCCAGCGGAGCTGTGATGAACTGCGCCGACAACTCAGGCGCCCGAAACCTCTACATCATCGCCGTCAAGGGTATCGGCGCCCGCCTGAACCGATTGCCCGCCGGTGGTGTCGGTGACATGGTCATGGCCACCGTCAAGAAGGGAAAGCCTGAGCTCCGAAAGAAGGTCCACCCCGCCGTCATCGTCCGACAGTCCAAGCCCTGGAAGCGATTCGACGGTGTCTTCCTGTACTTTGAGGACAACGCTGGTGTTGTACGTACAATTCACACGATAAGAGACAATTGGAGACTAACATGCATGTGTAGATCGTCAACCCCAAGGGTGAGATGAAGGGCTCTGCCATCACTGGCCCCGTCGGTAAGGAGGCTGCTGAGCTGTGGCCCGTAAGTTCTCCCATATTCCCAAGTCCCGTTATTAGCCGTACTAACACCCTCCTCAGCGTATTGCCAGCAACTCCGGTGTCGTCATGTAAAGTGCTTGCTTGCGAAAGAGAATCAAGGAAAGACAAAAGGGCGTGCGGTGCGTGGTGGTTGGGTTTCTGTCCCGAATGCGATCAGATAGAGCGCGGTAAAGAAACATCTGTTCCCCCCCTCCCCCCAAAGGACGAACCTCTTTTTTATTTATTTCCCTCCTGTCCAACAAGAATTGGTAGGAGGCGAAAACTGGGGTGAGGGGTTGTTTTTTATCAAAATCGGGGCAATGTTCTTTTTATCTACTACTTTTAAAGTCGCTGGATTTGGCACAAGGCTCTTGCATTTCGGTTTGCGGCGTGTAAGGATGATTCACATACCAGGCATTCACATCAAGGACAAATCAAAAGTCACTTCAATCCATCTTCTCCTGGGCGTTGTGTTCTTTTTGGGTTAAACTGTGTGCAATTCTTCTCGCCGTGAACCTGTGAAGTTATGACATTGATGTGCATGAACATATGTAGTCAGTCTAACTTAGTAGTACCCCTCAATATGCCATCAAATTGGTAATCTATCAGTGACATCTGTTGCAAACCCTGCTTGTAAGTCTTGATTGGCCCAGAAGAGCTGGTTATGCATTGCTCTTTGCTGCCGATGTCGCACAGCATCTACCCTGTGGGAACAACTTTTTATTCTCATATATTTTCTTCCTCTTGAGAGAGTATGGAGATGGACAGTTTTTCTATAAATAAAGTGGTCTATAAGATCACCTGAATTCATAACACAACCGGCATCCTACCTTTTTTGGCCTCATTGTCGTTCATAGATTTCCGATTTGACTTATGGTTTGTAGTGAGCAATGAAAATGAACCATGAGGCAAGCTACATATCGGACCATTTACAACACAATCACAATCACATCAAAGCAGATATTTTTGTATTTAACTTGACATTAAAATTCGTCTTTTAGGCGCTTGCTAATAAGCTCGCCACACCTTTTCTCACGCTATAAAACCTCCCAACTTGGGCGAGTCGCCCATTTGATGCATGCCGAAACGATTATGCAAAGACCTCCTCCCCTGCCCCTCCATCGCATGCATATATCCATGTATGAATGAACATGAAGAAAGAATAAAAACAAAACTAAAAACAAGACAAGAAACGAACGATGGTTCTTCGCATCTTTAGTGTACAAGAGAAAAAGCATTCATCGGAACCTGCATCCAAAAAAACCTCTCTTGTTTGTTCCGTAGTATACAGAGTGGTTGAATGTATGTATATACCATATGAGACTGCATGTCTCGTGGTGGGTCGTGAGAGTTACATTGAGCTAGCTACCGGGCTGAAGCTCTAGACGTTATTGCTTTTTTTGATTCGTATTTTTGACTTTGTGTGTGTGTGGAAATGTCGTCATTTGATGACCAGTCTAGAGACCAGTCTCGTACTCTCGTATCCTCTACCTCTAGTAGGGGTATCCCATACCAGGCATTCCGTGGCTATGACCATGGCTGTGGTGCTGAGGGTGGCCATGCATGAAAGGAGGAGGAGGATTTCCAGCCTGATGAGGAGGTGGTGGAGGGGGAGGAGGAAGATGTTGAGGGTGACCTGGGTGCATCGGAGGCTGCTGCTGAAGATGAATCGGGTGAGGCGGGTGTTGATGTTGATGCTGATGAGGGTGATATTGATGAGGAGGAAGTTCATGCTGGTGAGGGTGCATGGGCGGTGGTTGATGCAGCATGGGTGGTTGCTGTGGTGGCATATGTGGTTGATCAGGCTGCATCTGCATCTTCAGAGAGGAAGAGTCTCTCTTGATGGTGGCTTTGCCTTTAGGCTTGTTGGGAGCGGCGACACCTGTTCTTTGCTCGGCTGCCGCTTGAGCAGCCTTTTTAGCCGCCAGGGTCGCCTTGCGTTTCTCAACGGCTCCAGCCATATTTCCATTGGCCCAACGATCTGTATTTGCGTTAGCTTGTGAATAACAAAGAGAAACGTGTTTGGAAACTCACTCTTCATCGATGCGGACATCTTCTCCGACTTGGTCATGGACTTGTAGTCTTTGGGTGTATCATCTCCATCGTCCCCTGCGATAGATGGGGGAGCGGAGGGAGGTCCTGTAGCAGGAACAGCAGCAGCAGCAGGAGGAGGCGCTTGAGGTGCGGGTGTCCCTCCGTTCTTGGCATCCTGGCCAGATCTAACCACTTTGATCTTTTGAATCTTGCGATTGTTTGGCACTTGTGCTGGTTCGACGGAGGGAGCTGGTGTAGAAGCACTAGATGGAACCTCGGTGGTGGTGGTACCTCCGCTGGTTCGCTTGCCCTTCTTCTTGGGCGGCGCCTGAGCCAACTCTTCAGCTTCATTGGGATCGTCGCGGAAGCGCTTCTGTCGCTTGGGTCGGAATGAATAAGATGACTCAACAGTGTGGTTAGATGCTTCAGACGAGGCGGTAGTAGGGCGAGAGTCGCCGTTATCGGTGATCTCGTTTTCAGGTGTGACATCGGTATAGTAAGCTCTGGGAAGCTTGAGAGTAACAATGGCACGGCGGACAGGCGCCTTTTCTTCCTTCTCCTGCACTTCTTCTTCCTCTTGGGGTTCGTCATCGACAAACTCGTTGGGGTCAGCCTCCTCGTACTTGACGGCAGGTCTGGCACGGCCACGACGAGTAGTCTTTGCGGGTGATTCTTGCACAGGCTCCTCGGCGTCGGGTGTAGGGGCAGGCTCTTCGGCAGCAACAGCATTCTTGCCGCGACCACGCTTACGCCTAGTCTTGGGACCCGAAGCCTCATTGTCCGAGGCAGCCTCAGTGTTGAAGCTGACTGAAAGGTTTGTTTGGGGCTCATCCTCAGCGTTGGCGTTCTTGCGTCGACGACCACCACGAGTGGGCGGCACAGGTGTTGAGCTTCGACTAACATCTTGTGTCGCGGGATCAAAGAGCTGGACAGGCTTGCGCTGACGTTTGCCGACAACCTCGTCCGTCTCAGTGGCCTTTGCGGTCTGTCGGGGTTGGTTTCGTAGAGATCGTCCACGCGTCATGATCCCGACCTGTTGGGTTTCGGGGTTTTGCTTGCCAATCTTTGAAGGATGAGGATCATATTCAAAGCCATAGGCAGCAGCCATGATACGATCTTGTCCTTGAAGATAACGGGTCTCATTGAGACCTTCCTTGTCGCGAGACTTGTAGCCCTTGACAGCAAATTCGGGTTCTTCGTAGTTGAGGCCATGCTGGTTGAGGTTGCGAGTACGGGCTTCGTACTTGGCATCGGCAGCTCGTCGACGGAGTGAGTTCTCGTAATCGTCGACAACTGCGCCAAGGTCATTCCACTCGTCCTGCCACTGAACCATGGAGACATTGACGGCCTCGAGTAGTTCGTACAGGTCTTCAGTTGGCATGTCCTCGTAATTCTCGAGGATGGAGATGTACTCCTCAGGGTCTCTGAGCTTCCTATATTTGTAATAACGTGTACGTTCTGGAACTTCCTGAGATTCAGAGACGTCGGCGTCATCACCATCATCTCCACCTGGAGCAGGTGAATTGAAAGCTGTAGGATCTGTGGAGTCGGCCACTGGAGAGCCACGCGTAGGAGTGTTCAGTGCTGGTGTAGGGGCTTCGAGGCCCGCCCCATCCACGATATCATACTGATCGTCCACCATGGGCTCCATATCAGTGTCCTTTCCTTCAGGTGTTGTGTCGTCATTGGCGCCGTCTTCATCAGAGCGACCCTTCTTCTCTGGGTAGAGTGTAAACTCTCCATCGACATAAGGCCTAAGATGTGACCACCGGCCGACGGGGGTAGGCTGTGGCATTGACTCCAGGGCAATTCGGGGTGCAACAGGCTTCTGGGGACTTGCTTTCCTGTCTGAGGGAGCAGAAGAAGCGGGAGTCTCAATGGTCTCAGTAGGAGGTGGAGTAGGAGCTTTCAATTCGGTAGGGCTCGAAATGGTGGTGGGTTCCTCTTGAGTGAGAGGAAGCTCAGGCGAGTCTGAGATTGGCAGTTCGTCGGCAGTGGCCGGCACTTGTGCAGACTCTTTGTTTTCATTGTTTTCAGCAGTCTCATTGTTCACCGTCTCATCCTTTGTCGAATCGCCATTCACCTCCAAAGGCGTGTGAACATCGCTGGAGGTGACATTTTGGGGAGATGCGACGTTCTCAACAGACTGTCGAAGCTCTTCAGTCTCTCGAGCAGGTGATGGTGATGGTGGTTTTGAGGGTGACTTGGGTGGTGATGCAGAGCGAGCTCCTGAAGCAGAAGGCGACGACGCAGCTGGGGGCAGAGGTGCTGTCGTAGACTCTTCTACAGGCTCTTGCTCGGGCATTTGTGAAAGTTGCTCAGGTTCTTGTGTGAGCTCCGTGGGCTCTTGTGCAGGCTTGCTTACGGGCTCTTGCACAGACTTTTGTACAAGGTCTTGTGTATCAAGAGGCGCGGCATCAGTCATCTCGACATCTTGGATAAGATGCTCATGGATAGGATGCTCATCTTGAACAGGATCGATGTCCATACTGTCCATTGCGTTCATCTTGTCGTCTTGATGAAGGTCGATTGGCTTGTCCGTTGATGTAGGAAACTGATAGATGTTTGTGATTTGATTTGACGATTCTTGCTTGATGTTGGTCATGGTTTCGGTGTTGTTGTTGGGGTTGGAGAGAGAGAGAGCAGGTTCAGAAGAATCTTGAGGAAGAGGTTCGGCAGTGGGGACTTCAGCAACTCCATTGACAGGCACAGGCACTGGTTCAGATGCAGGAACAATAGGTGAGTGAACAGATTCACTCTTATTGTTCTCCACGGCTGTAACTGGCAGAGGTGCTATTGTCGGTGCTGGCACTGGCTCTGACACTGGCGCTGCCACTGCCACTGCCTCTGTTTCTACCTCTGGTTCCACTTCAACTGGATTAGAATCTGGCACTGCCGTGACAGCTTGTTCAGATTGTGCATCTGCCACTGCTGGCGGCTTTACTTCATTAACAACATCTTCTGCGGCTGGTGACTTATGCGTTGTACTCAGTGATTCCGGCTCGGGTTCCACTTTGGGAAGTTTTTCGGCTGGCGGCTCTGTAGGTTGAGATACAGGTTCCTCGATAGAGGTTCGTGTAGGTTCCACAGCAGAAGAAACTTTGTCTGAGGAGATTTGCTCAACCTGGGGAATAGGCAATGTTTCTTTTGTTTCAGGCTGGTGCTGATTCTCACCAACTTGAGGAGGAGCGGCAAATGCATCCTTGGTGGACTCATTATGGGGAGACTTTTTAGGTGAGTCCTTTGATGGCAACTTGTTCTGGGGGGATGAGTTATTTGAAGCAGCATCTCTCAGCTCAGAGTCGTCGACATCTGAGTAATAGGCACCGACTTCAATTGTGTCTTGGACGTCGTTATCATCATCTTGCAACGCAGCTTGATGATATACCTTGAGGTCACTGGATTTTCGAGTCGGATTCCTCCGGCGATTGGACGGGGTGTCAGCACCCATGGAGGCGCCTCGCCTCTTAGAGTCATTGCTGTAAAAGTCATCTGTGTCAAAGTTGACCTCAGACCTTCTCTTTTTGCCGCGTGCTGAAGAGGTTGAATTGGGAACGACAACATCGTCGTCGATGTGCTCAAACGTGTAATCCACGCGAGCACGCTTACGAAGACTGTGGCCGCCCTTTTTGGGGCCATGCTCACCCTCATCAGGAATTGGATAGTTATCCATAGTAGTAGAGCGCTTCTTCGCATTAGAATTGCGACTACTGCTAGGAGAAGAGAAAGTGAAGGCGTGTTGGAGAGGTTTTGCTGAGCGGCGGCCACCAACGCCTACACCTTGAGGCGTTGTGGTATTAGTGTGAGAAACAACAGGACTTGTGAGTGGATTCAGGTCAAAGGAAGCCTCTGAAGTAGAAGTGGGAGAAGCAGAAGCTCCTAACGGACGGCGACGTTGAGGCATCCGGCGCGAGCGGTCCATTGTACAGCCAGGACAGGCTTGTTAGTTGAGTCTGGCCCGAGAGAGATTTTGTATGGTTGGATGGGATGAGGCTGGGACCCAAGTTTACAGCAAGGACGTGTAGTGGCCAGCCGGGCCCGCGAGAGGCGTCATGCGAGTGAATCCACGGGACGGGGACGGGGACGGGTAACTTAGTAAGAGCGCAATGCCAAATATCAGGGAATACGCCCGAGCCTGAAAATTTATAATCAGACAGACGCAGCCTCGAAAGAGGATGAGACTCAAAGTGCGTGGATATGAATGAATGAATGAATGAGATGAGCGTGTCGGATGGAGTAAGAGAAACAAGCCAGGGCAGAGAAAGAATTTTGAAGTACAGGACAGGGAATTGGCGGCAACTTGCAAAAAAAGACAAGACACGACAGACGGGCCCGAGTAAAAGTAAAACGCACTGCAAGACAAAGGCTAAAAAGACGCCCTTAGTTAACAAAAAGACAAGAGAATAGACTTGATACGCCTTGATCCAACAGGCGATGGGTTTAACCAAGAGTGCAGTGCAATATATGACAAGCAAGAGGCGTGTGTGATGAAGACGAGACAGGACAGGACAGGACAGTCAGTCTCCTTTTGGCTCTGATGTTGGTCTCCCGTCGATTTTCTCAAGGTGTCGTGGTCTGGTCCGTCCGAATAAGCCAGCCAGCCAAGGCTAGACCCGCCTGGGGCCTCTTCTGTTAGTGGTATCCCGGCCACTGAAAGACCCAATCTCTCACAAGGCTCAGGGACCTGGCCTGGCCTGGCAAACCCGTCAGTACGTACCCGCCCGCCCCAGCGACCCCTTCTCCGGGGTTCCTCCAGACCAATCAGGCAATTCTATTTCCACGGAACTACACGACGCTAGTCCAAGTCAGGTATGAGCATGACCGTGTCGTCTGCTGCAAATCACTGGGTGTTAGTGGTTGCTTTGCTGTTGTAAGTCGCTGGTCAGCCAATTACAATACTTGTCGAGTACTCCGGCTGAGCTGTTGGTGAGGCTTGATGCCCACACAATCTGGTGTCATTGGTGAGTAGCCGACAGGTAGATGATGTTTCTTCAGCAACATCAGCAATTACGGTACATCTGACAATCTTGAAAGAAAAGTATCACAGGAACGCAATGAGATCATCAACTATTGCATGAGATCTCACTTACACGAATCATTCATCTATATCTGTGTATGCTGTTGTCCTAACTCCTCACTGTAGTGATGTAACCGCGATCACCCATTCGGAAACAGCACGTGTTAGACTAGGCGTTCCTGCCTTCCCGGTGCTCCTGGACCCTTGCAGCTGTCGGTGTCGTACCTACCTCTCCAGAGCTCCAACCATCTATCTCCCTTACGAGTCGTCTCTCTTTTGCGCCAAAACAACCTTCTTTCAACCCCCCGCCTTTACCAAATCATCAGCACGACAACTTTCGACACTTCACGAAAAGTCAATTCTACATCACTACACTCTTTTTGGGTCGCAGCTGTAGCAGGTCTCTGCAATTATGGCGTCGAAAAAGACAAAGCCCACCGCTGCTGCTGGTGACGACGTCGACATTGACGAGCTGTTGTCTGGCCTTGACCGCGATAAGAAGCCCAAGAAGACAACAAAGTCTAAGCCGACCTCTGCCGCATCCAAGGCACTTGCCGATCAGGATATTCTCGCCGACCTTGAATCGGAGCTGGCTGAGCAGCCTTCACGACCTCATACTCCCCGCCTCAAGGATGCTACCCGCCGTTCCACAGCAACACCCCCCGCTGGCGACCCTCGCAAGTCTACCGATAGTGCACGCAGCCTGAAAGCAACATTCACACCAAGCGCCACGAGCTCAGAACTTTACGAGAACGAGAAGAAGCCAGCATCTGAGCCTGTCCAGCAAGAACCTGCTCCTCAAGCCTCTGGTGGAGGATGGTGGGGTGGCATTTTATCCACGGCCAGCGCTGCTATGAAGCAGGCCGAAGCCGCTGTCTCACAGATCCAGCAGAATGAAGAGGCTAAGAAGTGGGCAGACCAGGTCAAGGGAATCAGAGGACTTGATGTCAACACGCTTCGAACCTATGGTATGTTTGAACTGACACCGAATTATGAATTTAGCTAATTGGGCGTTTAGGTGATGAACTCCGACACCGTGCTCTCCCGACTTTCACCAACATCCTCCACACTCTTGCGCCTCCTATCAGTTCCCATGAACGACTTCTCATTCATATCACCCACGATCTTGTCGGCTACCCGTCACTCGACCCTCTGATTCATAACGTCTTTGGCCATGTGATGGCACAGGTTGAGGGCGGTGACCTTCTTGTCATCCAGCGTGGCCAGGAGAGCCACTCTCGACGTAGTACCGATAGTATCACTGGATGGCATGACGGGCCTTGGTGGAGACAAACTGATACACCCCGAGAGCTCGGATTGATTAAGGGTTTGCCTGAAGGAACCAAACTTTGCCGCGCCAACGCCGAATCGCATGCGAACGAATACTTCTCTGCCAATGGTGGTGTCGAAGCAGCCAAACACAAAGCCACCGAAGATGTGAGCGAAACCAACCCTGTTAGAACCTCAGATCTGTTCCTGGCTGTCCAGGCAATTTCCGTGGATGAGGACAAGAACCTGTTCGCTCGCACTGCTTCTGCGGAAAAGGAGAAGGACTCTTCTGGTGTTGAGGATCAAGATGAGAACGAGGAGCTTATTTGTTTCGCTGTGTTCATCCTGGATCCTGTCCACGACATTGAATTTTATACCGTCAGCCAGTCTGTTCCTGCCCGATGGGTCCAGTGGCTCGATACCCCCGCCCCTCTCACACCCCGATCTGGCGAGGATAGTGATGTGGCCGACGCCAATATTCCCGAAGAGATCAGGGATATCATTGAGAGCGGTGGCGTTGACCCTCGAGAATGGGTTGCGGAGTGGCTTGAGGAGCTTCTGAACCTTTCTATCGGTACTGTTGCTCAACGATATGTCGCTCGCCGCATGGGTGTTGGTGAGGGTGGCCTGGGCAGGGGCAAGAGAAGGATGGAAGATCTTGTGCAGGACAATGCTGGTGAGGCTGCGCGTGCTGGCGTCATCTAAACGGCGTGCAGGAAACCCGATAAAGTATGTTGTATGACAAGGTAGGTTGGGCGTTGGAGTTTACGACGGGTAAATGTAATCTTCGGAAGCTTAAGTGGGCTTGGAAATATTTGAATACTGGGTTCTCTTTTCATCACGCAGGGTTAGGATCGCTTTGGAATCTACACTGTCATTAATATCAAGCTGGACTTTGAACGTCGACTAGCTCGACTATACTATACCCGCCTCTAAAGTCCGACCGCGAAATTCTACCCATGTTCTGCAGCAAAGTCTATGTATGGCCAACACGGTGAACTGATCCAGCCTTCTTAAGCTCACCTCTAGCCTCTCTGGTCGCACCCTCGAGATCAACCTTCTTCAACGGCCGGTAGACGGGATCCCACATCTGCTCTCTGATCCAATCCTCCAAATCTTCCTCCTTTTCAGGGATGCCCTCCTGTGTAGCCTCACCATCCTTGACAGCTGCTTGTATCACATTGCGGGCAATGCGGACACTGACATCCCGCACTGAATCCACGTCTGGGAGAAGAGGAGCCGTTGAGTCTTTAAGAACAGGGCTCAGCGAGGAAACTCCCTCCACAGCGGCTACCAGCATGCGATCTGTCAAGTGCTTGGCTCGGGAGAGCACGCAGCCGAGACCGATGCCTGGGAAGACAACTGAATTGTTGCATTCGCCGACGTTGATAGTGATTTCAGAACCATCTTTACCCCATGGGCCTTTGACGGGTGGGAAGGGCGAGCCTGTGGCTACAAGGGCCTTTCCATTTGTCCATTTGAGGATATCCTCGGGTTTGGCCTCATGAAGGCGTGTAGGGTTGGAGAGGGGAAGAACAATAGGCCGCTCGTGGTGCTCAGCCATGGCGCGGATAACATCCTCGGTGAAGGCACCAGGCTTGGTAGACGTGCCAACAAGCACGTTAGGTCGAACCTCTTTGATCACGGAGAGGAGGTCAGCATCCTTGTCCTTCCACTCTGAAGCATCCTTGGTAAAGATTTTTTGAGAGTCAGTGACACCTTCGGTTTCCGATGTGAGAAGACCGGGCTTGTCAATCAGCCTAAACAGTCAGTCGTGTTCTGTCTCGTCGGTGATAGGCCTTACCAGATCTGCTTTGCTGCCTCCTCATGGCTCATATTTCCTTCCGTGGCAATGGCGTCTCGAACTTGATCTGCGATACCGAGTCCAGCACTACCAGCTCCAAAGACAACCATTCGAAGATCTTTGAGCTTTTGCTTGCTGACGTGGAGACCTGATAAGATAGCTGCGAGAGTCACACATCCTGTTCCTTGGACATCATCGTTGAAGCAAGCAAAGTCTGGACGATACCGATAAAGAATCTTCCTTGCTATCAAATCATCAATGTCAGAATATACCACTAGGTTCGGACAGCGGGTGCATACCATTGGTTAAACCAAAGTCTTCAAAGTGGATGTAGGCCTTGGGATAAAGCTTCCTGGCAGACTGCACAAATGTGTCGACAAACTTGGCATACTCTTCACCACGAACACGCTTCTCTTTTAGACCGAGATATAGCTCATCGCCGAGAAGTTCCTTATTGTCTGTGCCGCAGTCGAGGACAACTGGAAGGGTTCTATTGGGATGGACGCCGGCACAGAGAGTGGTGAGGACTAATTTGGCGACGGAGATGAGGATACCGCCGACGCCTTGGTCACCAATGCCAAGGATCTCTTCACCATCTGGACACAATATTAGTGGCTGCTGATATGATGTAGAGGATAAACTGACCAGATACAACAATGTAGTCAATATCTTCAGGGTTTCCCCATTGTGCGAGATTGTGATGCACATGATCTGGGTCTCGGATGTTGAGATAGCAACCTTCCGGACGTCTAAAGAGTCGAGAGTAATTCTGGATAGCATCGCCTTCAGTCGGTGTATAGACGATGCTCATCATCTCATCGAGGTGAAGTTGCAGAAGCTTTACACAAGAATTAGCATTGCGGTTATAATGGAACGATGCACGAGTGAGTGATACCTTGTAGTACAGAACCTCATTTTGATCCTTTAGTGAAGTGAGAAAAGTATTCTTGGCTAAATCGTCAGGTCTTGACGAATACTGCTCATAGGCACGTTTGCACTGCTGTTCAAGTGTCTGAACACCTTGAGGTAGTAACCCTGTGAGATTAAACTCTCGACGCTCATCAGGAGGAAAAGCAGAGCCCTTGTTGAGATATGGTGTGTTCAAGAGCGATGTACCACTGAGTGCGCAGTTAATAGGACCGGCGGTGCTGAGTGGTAGATCACCAAATTTGGACTTTTTGGAGTGATCAGCCTTTGTGGCATAGTTGTTGTTGAGGCTCATGTATCGCATAGTGGACGGATATAAACGGAAGCGATGGACAGGGGATGATCTGGATAGTTTGAACATGATTATTTACTTGGCAGTCTTGGCCTTTTAATATGTGGTATTAATATTAGTAGAGTAGCATAGCATGGCATAGATAGGCAGGCACGGCAGTTGAGATAGAACAACAAGTTCTGGATCTGATATCACAAAGATGACGTCGTTGAGCTCTCACTGGCCTAAATCCACTCTGACGAAAGAATACGAAACCTTGATTGCATCTGCACGTGCTAAGGGTAGAAAGACAATAGGGTCTTTTGATATCATGAACTTCGATAATATTCCAGACAGATAATCACATGATAGTGACACATGTATTATACTATAATTCCAATAAGAGAAAAAAAGAATGTCGGTGCTCCTGGAGCCTCGCCCGTGTAGAAATTGAGACAATGTTAACCACCAAAAAGGTGACCAACAAAGACGAGACGGACGCGGACTATGATGGCCCTTGTTGTTCTAGCAACTACGACAATAAAAAAAGGAAGCACACAACGAATTGTGAGTCCCCTTTTTTTTTTAGTCGTTAAATCATCCTTCAGACTACTTCGTGCGGATAGTACAAAACGCACCGTCCGTAGAAGACCTTCCGTGAGGAAGACTCGTGGGAAGATTGAGTGACTGAAGGACAAACGCTGCGGATAAATAGAAAGGTATAGGTACCTACCGTGTAGCGAGACGCATAATTAGATCTTGAGATCGCGTCTTGTCGTGTTGTGTTGCTCTGAGAGATAGAGAGAGACTTGGGGTGATAGTGAGAGAAGGGGAAGATTATGGTCAAGGAAAATTTGACGCGGTTTTTGGTGGTGGAGTTGGAGTTGGAGTACGTACCCCACCCACTCACTGTTCGGTTGGCGGGTCAGCCACCAAAAAGATGCTGCATCTCAACTTGAATTCTCATTGGCTCATCAACTTACACCAGAACAATCACTGCTCAATATCATGTCTCACAACATAATCCTTAGTGGCTTGCCAAGACTTGTATTATCTGCATCTATACACGCAGAAAGATACTCGCTTGTATTTTGTCCCATGTACCAACTAAGTCGGCTATAATCTCCTTCTAAGCGTTCTCGTGGTGAGATGGCCTCGTCTCAATCTCTCCATCCTCCACCAACGCCTTCTCGGCCTTCAAAGCGTCAACCTCGAGCTCAATTCCGAGACCAACATCTCGGCGCGCCTCATCCAGCATCTTTGCATCCTCCTCGCCAGTGTGGCTTCCAAAAACTCGATCCATGTCTTCGAGAGTAGCACCCTTGGTCTCCGGAAGACAAAAATGCAGCCAGACCATACTACATGCCAAGAAAACGGCAAAGAAGATGTATGTGCCCCATTCAAGAGTCTCAAACATGGGAGGCACGTAAAAAGCAACGGCAAAGTTGTTTAGCTGCAGTCACTGTCAGTTATACTCGTCTCATAAGCGAGTTGGGACTGCTTACCCAGTTACTAGAAGCACCAATCGAAGAACCCTTGGATCGGATAGAAAGAGGGAAAATCTCGGCAACGAGAGTCCAAGAAACAGGACCCCATGTAGCTCCAAAAGCTCCGACGTAGAGCCAGATGAAAGCCACGGCAACCCAACCAGCAGCACTATGCGTCTCCCAATCGTGCTGGAACTTGGCGACAATAATGCCAGCGAGAACCATGGAGATAAGCATGACTATAGATCCCACGTAGAGCATGGGCTTTCGTCCAACCTTGTCAATGATCGCCATGGCAGGTAAAGTAAAGACGAAGAACACAACACCCGTAACTCCTGTTGCCAATAGAGCCTGTGTTCCTCCAGTAAGACCTAGACTCTCAAAAACTTGACTGGCATAGTAGATGATGGCGTCAATACCAGACCACTGTTGCCAAAACATAACGAGCCAAGCAGTAGCAACACGCTTGAAGTTATCCTTGGTGCGGAAGATCTGATAGTACTGAGCAAACTGGGCCATCCAGACACTACCTTGCTCTTTAGCAGCCAGGTTAGGGAAGTTCTTGGCGAATGCGCGCTGTTCAAAGAGAGCCTCAGCCTTGATCTCCTTGTATTCCACCTGAATGAGCTCGTGCTCGATGGGTAGGTTACGGAGGTAGGACAGCGTTTTAAGAGCCTCTTCATCACGACCCTGCTTAACTAGCCAACGCGGAGAAAATGGCAACCACCAGATTCCTAGGGCAAGAAGAACAGCGGGAATTCCTTGGATGATGGACGGGAGCATCCATGCGAGGTTGCTTTGGCCTTCTCCTGTGCCTCCGATGTAGTTGCTGCCGTATCCGATCCAGAATGAGAGCATGATACCGAGGATGGTGCAGAATTGGTAGAAGGAGACGAGGAAGCCACGGAGTTCGGGAGAGGATAGTTCGGCGTTGTATAGTGGACTAAAGAGACGTCAGTCAGATACCTTTGTTAGTATTGGGCAATAGTTAGGACTTACCCAACACCACTGAAAGTGCCAACTCCAATACCAGTGAAGAAACGACCAGCATAGAGCATGGAGGCATTATCCTTTGTTCCTCCGATATACAGATAGCTACCAAGAATTACCCAGCAGCAGGCCATAAACATAGTGTACTTTCGTGAGTAGACTTCACCAAAGACACCAGCGGATAACGAGCCCAAAATGCCACCGAGCTGAAGGATCGAGGTAAGCCAGCCAGTAGCTGAGGATGAATTGACGATAGAGGGGAAGTTGTCCTTGAAGCGATGCATCACCAGGGACTGGCCTAGGACACCTTGTTGGTAGCCATACTCAAAACCGCCGAAGCTGAGATTGTTAGTGAGAGGGTGAAGACGGGGATGGAGGAGACGAACGAGGCGAAGAGGGCGATGACGATGAGCTTGGGATTCTTGGCGAGAGTCCTCCATCGATTTTGGTAGGCGAGCTTCGTCCGCTCATCAACAGTCGACTCCATGATGGAAGAAGCGTGAATACAATCTATTCACCACCGATTAACAATAATTGAAGTAGTTATTCCAAGCCAAGAGGCAAGTATAAGTGTGACAGAAACCAAGATCAACATCGGGAGAGCAATGGCCCTTATATAACGAACCACAATATTTGCATCATCGACAATTCCATTGCCATTTCGAGCCATCAACTACATGGATCTCAATGTTAAGAAGCTCCCCGCAACTAACACCTCATGCCAATCCGGGGACCCCAGATGCAACATAGAAAAAGGTACAAGCGAAGATGTATCTTTATGGAGTAGCACTGCTACCTTAGTAGGGTCGGTGAGACTCCGGCGATGGGTGCTTGGTATGTCCATATTGGGAAAGATTTCTGTATATGGCAATGTGAAGCACTCTGGAATTATAGCCTCGTCTTGCCCGATGAGCGAGGGTATTATGAGCATGATGTTTATGATGATTGACAATTGATTCATTACTAGAAATACAAGCTACGGTTAGGTCAAGTATCGATACAATTAGCAAGTCAGGAGATGTTACATTACAAAAGGCAATACCACATCAATCTATCGGAGTGCCCCGACTTACACGGAGGCTTTAGTGGGCAAGAGTTGGCCGAGCATTAGAGAAATCACGCGCTGTCACCAAGTTTTCTGACCAAGGAATTAATAGCAAACATGCCCTCTTTTTAAACGCTCGGGATCATGAAACACATTTCTTCCCCACATGTTTCCCCGGTGTCAGTTTTGGTCCCGGTGTCGGCCCTTGCTATGACGATCCCGCATCTCTTCTCCAACCTCCTCCAATTTGTTGTGTTTAGAAAAGTCGACTCAACACCGACAGTCCTTGGCATCGGCAGATGATTCTTGTGTCTTATGAGGCTCAACTGGGATTACTGATCCGCGTGTACATGGATGCTGGTGCTAGGCAGAAGGATTTTCTGGCTTGACACTGGACAGAAACACGGGCCAAGTAGTTGGAAATGCTTGTGACTTACATAACTCTATGGAACGTTTCACATAAACCTTGCCCTTTTACATAACGAAGAAGAGGTTTGCTTCGCCATGAACTTAGACAGTAGAGAATTCATCGAGGATACATATACTCCAAGGCATTTGATATGAGAAGCCTCCGGCCTCGTCTGCTCGCTGGAAGTTGCTCCATGCTACCCTCTGCTACCCTATATACTTGATGGCGACCTCGGTGAGCAAGAAAACCTAGAACTTCTATCATAAATAAGAAAAGAATTTTAGTATAGGCTTAGGCCCTTTAGATAGCTTATTCTTATCAATCAGAATAATGATCCTGAGGCTTCTTGGAATGCGCGTATTCCATCTTACAACTCCGGATTTCGCTAAAATGCCCCTAGACGACTGTCGCGCTTAAAAGTGCCTCTTTTGGGTTAAAATGCTCCGGAAATAAATTTCTGTCGGGTATCACAGCCAACGATAGAACCTAGGTGGGCAGCAACAAGAAAGCCTCTCACATAAAGACAAGATGTTAAGAGTAACTAATCTAAGTCTCACTAAAGTTATGCTCAATTTACCTAAGCCTTGTCATCATTTAGGATAGATACCCTAAGTTTTGCCTCCTTTAGCCTAAGCATGCTATCACAGGCATGTCGAAGTGTGAAAAACGCAAGCTGCTTCATACTCTGAGCCACGGCGATACGCAGATACTCTTGTCGATCTCTGCCGTCCTGCCCAATGCTGACGATGGGATACCCGCCGCCGTACTTGATGAGGAGAGTGTTAAGAATAAGACGGCACATCCTGCCGTTGCCGTCTCCAAACGGATGAATGTTAACAAACTTGTGGCAGTACTTACTCGCAAGCGCTACCGGGTCGATTTGTCCTTTCTCCGTAGCCTTCTTGATGTCGGACTCTAGTTCCTCTATCATATCGCGCATCGCAATGCGGACTTTGCTGTGGTCCATGAAGACGTGGGAACCACATTGGACATTCCATAATCGATACTGTCCACTGTATTCGTTCCAGGGTATGTGCTTGCTGATTTCGATCTTGTATGTCAGGTCACCATGAGCCTGCGTGATAATATGCTCAGATAAGTTCTTGTCGTTAATACAGATCTGCTCGATCATGTACCTGGCTGCCTTGGCATGTTGAACGATTTCTCGGTAGGCTTGAAGGATATCGGCATGTTTGCAAGGCAGGTCCTTGTTGTAGAGATAGAGATCGAGTTGTTCGTATTCTGGGTCGTGTTCGCTAATCTCTTCCGGTGGTGCTTTGCCTCCTCGGAAGACATCTTTGCAGAGCTTTAATGTGATGTCGAGACCTCCGCCCACGTGCTCGATCATATTGGACCCATAGACCATGCGAGCGAGTTCATCTATAATGCGTTCGTCAATATCAGCGATGTTTTCATATTGCTCCAGCCCATGTTTGACATTTGTGATGTGCCTGCCTAGTTCATGGTGAAGCTCGTTAGGGCTAATGTCACCATACTCATAAGCATCGTCATCCACATGAATAGGAAGGGCTTCTTTGTTACACATCATCATGCGCCGAATAGATCGCCCAAGATGGTCCAAATCCACACTATCAACAATTGGGTCATCAAAAGGGGCTTCGAACCTTGGTCGCTTAGATGCCTTTCCAGTGTGGTTGCTCTCGCTTTGAAGACGTTCGTTTTGCACACTTTCGAAGGGGTCCTGGGGTAGACTGTTTCGTTTCTGACTGGGCATCTTGGTACTGGGCAAAGGAGCTTGTGCATGAGAAAAAAAGTCGAAAGTTGGATCAGAGTGGGGGGAAGGGGTCTTTTTTATACCTGAAGTGACTCTGAAGTTATAAAAGTTTACCTAAACCTTACCACTTTATTGGATGTAAGCCAATTTTACCTAAACTTAGAGATGATTTTATTGAATACTGATAGGTCTTCGAATAAGCCTTCATCAAGTTCCAAGAACTTAATTCTTTTTGGCCATATCAAACTATCATGCAGGTATTAGTACCTTCAGTGGAGAAGTCACATATTTCGTTCACGACAGCCAAGGCCTCAAGATCTCGCGATATGTACAGTTGTATATTCAGATGGCCTATGAACAGCGACTTTCGAATCAAAGAGTGTCCCTAAATTCCTCCAATATCCACCTTTGTAACCTTGTAGTCATTCTCAATCTCATATATACTCATCTTTCCCAACCACCCTCCTCCTCTTGGACGAAGATCTCACAACAGACATTTATCGTCTCTTTTGGTGATGCTAAAGTGCTTACTGAGCGGTGTTGCCGTTGTTGCCGATCAGGTTGGGGGAGCTGCGGAGGTTGCCAGTGATCTTGCCAGAAGTAGCAGTGCTCTTGAGCCAGTTGGTGACACCAGTGACGCCGGAGACACCGTTGACAGAGATGCCGTAGAGGACAAGACCAGCAATGTGGGGAGTGGCCATGGAGGTACCGCTGATGCTGTTGGTGGCACTGTTACTAGTGTACCAGGCAGAGAGAACGCCGGTGCCGGGAGCAAAGATGTCAAGAACGGTGCCGTAGTTGGAGTAAGAGGCAATGGCCCAGCTGCTGTCGATAGCACCGACGGTGATAGCGCTGGTAGCAGAGGCAGGAGAGGTGTTGGCGGCGTTGGCACCATCGTTTCCGGCAGCAATAGCAGAGATGATACCAGATGAGGAAGCAGAGTTGACAGCGTTGTTGAAAGAAGCAGAGTAACCACCACCAAGGGACATGTTCACGACAGAGCGAGCAGTTCGGCCCTTGGAGATGATATCGTTGGCAGCCCAGTTGAAACCAGCAAGGATAATAGAGGTGCTAGAAGAGCTGCCCTGGAAGACCTTGACAGCCTGGATGGTGGCCTTCTTGGAGACACCGTAGGTCTTGCCGGCAATGGTGCCAGAGACGTGAGTACCGTGGCCAACAGAATCGGCGTTGTCGCCACTGAAGGCAGTGTAGACGGCCTGAGCACGGCCCTCAAATTCATTGTGGGTGGTTCGAACACCAGTGTCGATGACGTAGGCATAGGTGTTGGTACCAGCGTTGGTATCGTAGATATAGCTGGTAAATCCACTAGAACGGTGAGAGACTGTGCCGAGTCCCCAGGGGGCGCCACTCTGAGTAGTCAAGGCACGCTTTGCGAGAGTCGTTGCCTCTTCTTCCTCCTCCTCAACCCAGTTGATGACCCACTCGCGGTCCTGTTCGACGATGGCAACCTGGACTGGATATCAGCATTGGGTAGCTTATTGAAATTCAATGTCACTTACATCAGGGTTCTTCTTGATCTCCTCAACGGTGCTCTTGTCGAAAGAGCCAGCATAGCCCTGGAAGCCATACTTGCCCTTGTAGGTGCGCTCAACACCCTTCTCGGCGCGCTTGTTCAGCCCACGCTTGTGGACATCTTCAACCCAGCTGAGATGGCTGTCGACATCGGCAGCAGCGATATCAGACTTGAGGGTGATGATGTACTTGCCAGGAATGACCTTGCTGGAGTCAACCTTGGCAGTAGTAGGAGCGGCGTTGACGAGCCCGAAGAAGGCTGTCGCGGCGAAAGCGAGGTTCTTGAAGTTGACCATTGTGAAGATACAAAGGAGCAGAGGAAGAACAAGAAACGATGGAGGATGCTTGTGTGTAGATGAGACTGAGGGTGATGAGGATGAGAAGGTAAGTTGTTTGGAGGGGAGGACGATACGTCTTATATAGATGTGGCCGATGTTGCTAGGCGACTGCTTCAATAACAATAACAATATGGATGGCTGATACGGGGTTCGTATGTTGAGTTCATGAAGTCACCTCTGCCAGCCATACGCAGCCATGATACATGGCAACGCTGGCTATTGTTGTGGTAACAGAAGTATATCGAACGGTTTGTGTAGAGAGACTTTGCTCGCTGGTGTCCCCCCTGAAGTCAAAAGCCCAACAGCCGGAGATTCTAAACCCCTACAGACCGAGTGCAGGGTTTGTAAGGTGCAAATCTGCAAGTGTCTTGCATCTATTGCCAGACATGATGTCCCATCAAGACACAATCGAAGGGATGATTTTCATCAGCTTCCTCTTGCGGCGACAACCGACAGATTTACGCAGCGTCTCGCCATCGCCTTCAGCAACGCCAGACAAAAAGAGGAAGGCGAAATGTGATGCATCGAGGCGGGAGAAGCTCTGAGAGGCGACTCAGGATAGCGAGAGTGCAAAAGTTCTCGAGAATGCAAGAAGCAGGTCGGTGGGCCTAGCATCAAAGCCAAGAAGGATGCATGGGACTTTCATCACAAGAGATACCTTGATGATAGAGCACCAGGATATCGTAATGGGTCTCAGTAGACGTCCAGAACACACCCAGCTTGTCTCACAAATTATGAACAACAATACGTTGACGGAAATCGATTGCATGTGATGAGACAGGGCGTGAGGAAAAAGTAGGTTACCATCGATAACCTTGGCTATAGTTGAATGTATTCAGGATCTCTTCAGTGGAACTCCCTGCCGTCAATCATGATCGACATGGCACTAAGAATACAATCCTCCAGCAGGTTACTCTTAAAGATTAACCATATAGTCTCGGTCTAACCTCATATCTCGATCTTGGCAGTGACTGCCGGTATCCAGAACTACTGGAGTCGATAGTAGAGAGCGGCCCGAGGGGGAAGGCGTTTGAAACCCCTTCCAGTCTCTGATTGGAGACAGCAAACAGGAACATAGCCAGTCGGAATCATGGATCGGCCCGTAGACGATGCATAAATCCTAGTTCAAGGTGTTTATCGTCAGAGGCTTGGTGAATTGATAGTCGAAGGAAGTCGAGCGGGAAGTTAGTGAACTGCCAGATAAAGTAAATATGCTTCTCCGCAACTCCAGCATAGCCAAAGCAGGCTAGACATTGCTCCTTGATGACCTAGCCCTACCGATGACAACAGCCGTGCGGGAAGGGTTTCACACCAAGAGCTATGCTGCAACTTGGATAGAAGTTCCTGTCATAGATGAGCATCAAATCAACTTCCTCTTTGGGACACTATGTCCGAGTAGGTGCGTATCGTTGCCGCCGCTGGCCTCGCAGGACAAGACATTGATTCGAGTGTCCATTTTCGCTGGAGGCTGATAATTACAGTGACGCTAAGTTGTAGGAAAAGGAACCTTGCTTAGCCTCATGATTCTATGTCTAGAAGCCCACGGGAGGATGAGTAGGAGGGCAGCGTGATTCGAAGCGAGGGGTTGGAGTGCACTCCTTGCCGAAGTCTTAGATGATCTATATCGATTGTTTCAAACATTGCAATAAAGATATCGGGACGGAAACAAAACAACAGAAGCCTTGGATTCGGTATCCCTGTTCATCGAGTCTGTCGTAGTTCGCATTCTATCGAGTTTGTGTCGGCGAATAGATAGATCCTGAGCACTTGTAAAGTTGAGGTTTCCCACTGTAAGGCCTGGGTGGGGTTGATACCTTGAAGTAATACGGAGTAGAGGGGCTAGAGGGGCCGGAGATGCCACGGGCAAGAGCCAAGCTTGGGTGGGGACAGAGATCAACCAATGAGAAGTAACGGAAGGAGTAAACGGGTTGTTGGGTCTTTCTTGTCTTACCTGACTGCAGAGATAAAGATTTGTGGCTTGGACCCAGCAGGTGCATTGACGTACCCCAGAAGTCTAACTTACAACAACAGCATCATCTGAACCATTATCATCGCCATCACTAACCTCCATTATTCAAGGGTGAGGCCAAGACACTTTAACCCCTGGAGAGACATGGAGATTTCACTACCCGTTAGCGCCCTTCCTTCCCGTGCCAGTTTAATTCTAACCATAATTCTATTCTGTTCTATTCTACCTATCGAAGCCTGATTTAAGGGTGCTAATCTCGAGTCCCATTTAGGTATCTGCCCGACCTTGGTCAAGGCCAACCTCAGTAATGAATGAATGGACCCCGCTCTATCTTTGCATCTCATGACCCTTGCTCATGCATCCGACTAATCAATCAATTAACCCTTATCAGCACCTCATGATGCTATCAGAACAAAAGTACCTGTCATGTTCTTGGATAGTACCTATTCTAATGTATTGCATTAGGTTATCGGTCCGCCAAGACCTACGTATCATTCTCGTTCAATACCGAACAAAACTCCGAATCCCAAGCAACCCAACCCATTCGTGGAAACTACCCGACAACACTCGCACGCCATCCTTTACAGCACTCGCTTATGGCCAAGGAACTTTTTGACTGGCCTAACGATGTTTTGAGTCAGGAGACGCTGACAATCCTGGTCACTCTCGATAGCTCAGGAAAGACCAGCAATTGGCTGCCATCCATTACCTATACCCTGCTTTGAGCCTTCTCAATACCTGCTCAAGGTACGGAGTATACAAAATCATATTGTTTAGCGAGTCTGTTTATTTCTCCGTGACCACGCCGCACGATCGTCACGGCCCGCCGGAATCCTCTTAACGAAGTGTTACTATTGTCGCGAGGCTCAGGAACCAGCAAGAGCTGAGAGTGATCTTACGGCTACCAACCGAAACTGGATCTCGCAATCATGCTAAAACCGAAAGGAGGTCACGCCGCTTTGACATTTAAGCATCTATTAAACTTTACGCCAAGTGGTGTTCTTCTGCCCTGGACCAGTCTAAACTCAACTCGTGGCTCAACTTCATGCCACAAGGTAGCATCTGCTTTAACCACAAGAGCCCATATGCAATATGGCACCTCTCTCACTTTGGATGAGATCATCGATTCAATGTGGTATGCCCGCTTCCTGTACCCCGAGGACCCTTGTCGCCGTTGAATCGACGAGTGTCGCCACTACATGAGATCTTGCCGCTAGGAGGACCTACCACAAAAGTACTTACGACCTTGATTACTTGAGCTCCTTCCTAGCTGGCCACTATCGTCTTCGAACCGAGAGCTATGTCGCGATAAGGATCCCATATTGTTCAACATCGTCAGCAGGGAAACTCGCCTACGAGGCACCTCAAAATCCATCCCACGCAGCTTTGGAGCGGCAGACTCCAACAAAGGTTCCCACATCCCGGAAGAGATCAGGCTTCTGACCATAGATACGCGCCCCGGCTAACCAGCTATATGTGCATTAAGCCTTTGAGGCAACCTGAGCGGTAGCTATGATATCCAATCACGCAAGGCACGAGGCTTCCAAGACTTCTAGACTACTCTCGCCTTTCCATGGAGGGTGTTCTGCAACGCCATTTCGAGTTAAAGATCTTCAAAAAAGGCCATGCATCTAATTCCATCAATACATACTTCTTAGCTCTTCACTCATCTTCGATTAATCACTTACGACAATTCACAACAAGACGTTGTTTCTGCTACCTTCCTGTTTACACCATAGTCGCCGAGATTCTGCATCAGCAGGATCCAGCATGTCTATCAGATAGTATCTGGTTCACGCTAGAACTTAGGGACACTGGCCTTTGGTCGATTTCTCTGACCATGGGCAAGCCTCAGAGACTCTTCCACAGCTTCCACTATGGCTAAGCTCTGCTTACTCAGTGACAGACTATATTTACAACTCAAGGAGCGAAAAGAATAAGAGGCCAGGTATTTTAAACCTGGTTAAAGCTCTATACGCTGTCGAAATAGTATCGTCGGGGCCACCACTATTGACCCCCTTTGTCGTCCAGTTCTTCGTTATGGTCGCCGAGTATGAGGTGTGCCATCAAGGTGTTTGAAGAAGCTGCTGGCATATTTTTATTGACCTAAGCAATCTCTCATAATCTACGATCTGTTTCTGACAGGTGAATCTGATTCAAACTCTGTTTGGAAAGTGGGAGTTGGGGATAAGGTCGACCCCCCGTGATACTTCAGGGGGACATGGTCAGCCCGTGGAGTAGTCATACTTGACTTATCTAAAAGGAGCCCATGTTCAAGATTCTCGTTATAGCTCCCATACTACCTAGTTCTCGGCGAGCGCAGATAATGTTGATTTGAAATTTTGGCCACAGCACTGGAGTACGGTCTTCAACTTCAGCATGAGATCCGGATATAGAGACGCAGTCCATCCCCATGTCTTTGGAGATAGAGTTCTTAGGCCATGCTCATAGTACCCAATCATCGACGCATATTTGATGATTGCCTTATACGGACCTTGCATGAGGTAGTGATACCTTGCTATCTTGCCAACGCAGCGTATGGTAGCCAAGCCAGTGTGTAGGCATATTGCTCCGCAAAATGCCAGCTGCACCTCGGGATATGCTACTTCGTATGATCAGTGGCACTTGGAACACGAGGTCATCGTACTGACCATGCGCGTTACTGCGAAGCAACACTTGGGACTTACTCGTACCCTCATCAACACTCCCTCCTGTCTCTCAAGTTCACTAGTCCGAAGGTTTCCCTTACCGACATTTGTACTCGTCCCGCTTGCTTCATTTAGGGACCTGAGTGGGAGAAAAGACCACAAATCTGCGATTGACCGTTTGGGTTCAGTCGGCCTTCAACGACTATGTCTCCTGAGTGTACGGCGCATCTCAGTGCCCACGAGAACACAATTCAGGACTCAACTCTTCGCGATATTGGCTGATCATATCTCTCTATATGTGAGTGCAATTAATCTCAACTGCCGGGCACATAACGACTGAGAGGCAGTGCCGGTCTCTTGTGGTGTAAGAGTAGCACCCCCTATTGGCTCCCATACAAGAGGAGCAGGCACCTCACATTGCAAAGGATATGCATTGTCAGCTCAGCATGTTGGTAGTTACGCTGACACTGAAACATACAGGCTTTGTCAGAGATAACCTTAATTCAACTACCTCAAGCTGACACAGACATACAGATATTTACCGACTCCATTCCCACCAGGTCTCCTCGAGCGATCACATCGGACAGCCACTCGGCTCCTTATTCCCATCAGTCTGTCTACCATCGACTTTACTACCATCTACCTTCGTCGGAGCCCCTTCTGGCATGGGAATACCCGGAACATCCTTGAAAACCGCAAAGCTCGACGGTGTCTCCTCCAATACCGGGAAGTGAAACCCGCACTGCGGACACTGTTCATGAAGAACAGCCTGCTCCTCAGCGAGGTTATACTTCTTATCCTGAGTGTGATTGCACACAGGACACACACGAAGCAGTCTCGTTCCAACAAGCTCGAAGTTAGTGATGATGTCCTCCATGATAGCCCCGTTCGCTGCCCACTCCTTGCAGTATTTATGGTAGGTGTTCTTATGCCAGTCGTACAGAGCACCACGACTAGTCCAGAAACTGCATTCGTTGTACCAGCTTCTGTCGTCGGGGTGTTCCCACCATGTTAGGTGTAGAAATCCTGGGAGTGTCATAAGATGGCGACGTGTGTCGGCGAAGAGAACCTTGAACTTCTCGTAGGCGTCTGGGCTGGAGAAGCGGACTCTTTGCATGCTCAGATAGATAGTCATAGTGGCAGTATAATGCTTTGGGTATTGGGAGAATGGTATAGGTTTGGCTTCTTTAAAGCTTTTGTGGTACGATATCAATATGATCGACTATCAACTATACAGGAGTTCAAAGTAGCTGACAAGAATTTAGACCCTTTCATACTGCCATCCTCTCAATTTATACTTACACCAGCATCTGACTTCTTTTGTTATCTTACGTGTTGCACAGGACTGCCCAGGCAATTATTTCCATATCAAGAACATAATCACGAAAGCATCTACGACCATTGGCTTATCAAATATCCGGGGAAGCGGGGGTGATTAAGTTTCCTGATAAAGCTACGACAGCCGTCATGATTGTGTGGCAACCACAAGTTGGACGTTTTGTGTGGATGGCAGCTGTTGACTGGCTCGTGGCTTGCGGGTTGTAAGATCTTCATAGCTTAAGCCAATCGAAACTTGCTGTTTGTAAAGCTGAGACACTTGAAGATACAGGCAGAGAACAACATCTTTCTAGGGCCAAGCATTGCAATCACTATCAATTCATAACTTCATGTTTACGTAACATTAGACACATTATGTCTCTCAATCATGGAACTGCATCCCCAAGTACTGTGTCTTGAGTACAGTACCCTTCTTGGCACCCGTAACACCAATCTTGACGACCTCACCCGGGACGATATCGATTAGATTGTCTTCAAACTTGACCCCATCGTCTTTGCTCAAGACCGCTAGTCCCTTGATAGGCACCTCGGCGCTGATTTCAACGAACTTGCATCCCTCAGAAACTTCAGTCTTGAGATTCTTGGGTTTTTGGAAGTGTAGGTACTTCAGTGGCTCGGGCCAGTTGACATATCGTGCAATCTGTTTGCCATCCTGGTAGAAGTAAGCTGCAACAACAGTCTTCGCCTCAAGGTCAGCGTTGGGCTTCTCAACAGGGACATCCAGGGTTTTGATTTCCGTTGAGCGGTTACTCTGGAGAACTAGGTCAGAAACAACTGTTTGTGAGTATGTCTCCTTTCCGGTCTCAACGTCCCAGGCCTTGACAACACAGTCTACAGTAACATCTTCCAACTTGAGGTTACTTCCCCAAATCTCAACCTTGACCTTAGTCTCAATATCGACCCTTGTGTATTTGTTCTTGGGGTGCTTGTGCTCCCTACGTGTCATGCCAATAGTGATAGGTGCCATCTCCCGCTTGATGGTGAAGTAGGAATGCTTGGGCTGAAGGTAGTAGTCACAGATGGCCCACGAAGTAACGGGCCAGCAGTCGTTGGTCTGCCAAACCAAGACACCACTACAATACTCCTTTTTTGGACCCTGCCACTGTCGCTTCCAGAGCCGATAGGCTGAGGCTAAGGCCTCGGCTTGTAGCAGTTGGCTGTAGTAGACGTAGTCTTCCAAGGGTTCCAGCGTGAAACGGAAATTTTCGGCCATGTACAGACCCAGTCGACGCAGCTGTCCATCTGCCTTGTTGTGAAAGTCAATCGTGGATGATGTAGAGAATCGCTCAGGGTCGTCCTTGCCTTGTGGAAGGAAAGCATCGATGGCCTTAATATCTGGGAAGCCTTCCATACCAAACTCGGAAACGAATCTCCCAACGAGCTTGTCGTAGTCTTGGTACTTTTGTTGAGAGCCGTGCCAAACATTCCATTGATGGATATCTCCAATAGTTGGGTCAGTGGTAACCTTGCCACCCCAAGGGCTTGCAATATGATAGACGGCATTTGGATGGAGATCTTTGCAAGCGTCTGGAAGTAGCTTTTCGTAGATGTATCGAGCAGGGAAGTCGGTCTTTAACCAGCTCTCTGGGTCATGGTCGTCGAAGTCATATGTGAGATTCTCGGACTCACGTAGTTGGTAGTCCTCATTGTTGCCAGCCCAGAGAACAATTGATGGATGGTGACGAAGTCGCTTGATATTGGCTCGAGCTTCTCGGTCAATAGATTCGAGTAGGTCAGGCCAGGCAGGGTAGTTGCCACAAGCGAACATGAAGTCCTGCCAAACAAGGATACCGAATTCATCGCAGGCATCATAGAAGACGTCCTCTTCGTAGATACCACCTCCCCAGACCCGAAGCATAAACTGATTGCCATCAGCGACGAGTTTGACCCATTCTCGGTATCTCTCTTTCGTAATTCGAGGAATGAAGTTATCTGCTGGAATCCAGTTGCTTCCACCGCAGAAGATCGGGATGTTGTTGACTTGAAAAAAGAAGCTGGTACCTGGTTGACCATCAAGCTCTCGTTCAACAAGTTCAAGTTTGCGAAGGCCAATCTTCTTGGAGATTGTATCTATCTCGTTATCGTCCTCGAGAAGGGTGGCCTTGATGGTATACAGGGGTTGTTTACCATATCTGACTGGATACCAGAGAGCCGGATCTTGGATATGGAACGTAGTGGTTGCGTCTTTGTCTTTTACATGTGCGGTTTCAGATGCAACCTTTTTTCCATCTAAAGAGACTTCGAAGCGGACTCTAGAGGCTTTGCCTTCAACAGCCGCATGAACAACAACATCTGCCTTCTTGAGAGACTTCTCAACTTCTGACTCAGTATAGAGATCTGCGATATGAGACTCATAAACTTCAAGGTTGATGGGTCTCCAAGGACCACAGGTTAGCAAAGCAGGACCCCAATCCCAGCCCTAAGAATTAATTAGAGACCGCGAAACAGCAACGACGAAATGACCTACCCAGTGGTACTGCGCCTTTCTGACAGGAAGTCTTGAGCCGTCCCCATTCCAGACAACATACTTGTGGTCAGGATGCTCTTCCACCAACTTCCATCCTCTCAAATACGCCGCATCAAATGTGATGCGGAGCTCATTCTCGCCATCCTTTTTGAGATCTTTTGTGACGTCCACTCGTTCGGGAACAAACATGTTCTCGGTCTCAAGAATCTTTTCGCCATTCAACTCAACCGTGGCAAAGGTATCGAGACCGTCGAAGGCCAGAACCGCCTTTGCACCATCATGAATCTCCGGGCTAGAAAAGGTCGTCTTGTACACCCAAACAGTCTCACCGATCCATTGAACTTTAAGCTCATTCTTTCCAATATAAGGATCAGGAATCTTCTTATGGTGTAAGAGGTCAAGATGGACGTTTGTTGGAAATTGAGCGACTGGTAAATAAGAGGAGTCGTCTTCTTTCTCCTGCTTGAATTGCCAGTTCTTGTCGACTGGGGTAACAGTGCGGGGAGCCATGACGAAAGGGTCTCGTTGAAGCTATGATTGTGCAAGTTGTGAGAGAAATCAACGATGGAAATTTATGAAAGAGTGAATTTGGATAATACAGAAAATGGAGAGAAAGGAATGCTTTGATTGACGATCCGACCTTTTTGACATGGAAGGAACGATGGCTTTAACCGGGCAATTTGCCAGGGCAGGTGCAAGTCATGATGACCCCGCGATGTACGAATGCCTCCAGGACAGGTACGGGCGATCCTCCCGTCGTAAGACGTCCAATTCTGTTACTCAATCTCAATGGTCAGTTTATGAGCGACAACATGTTATTTCGACGTTTACACTGCAGAAGACCTTCCACAGGCACTTCTGCGGCACGACGATCCGTCGCACCAATAAGCGCCAACTCCAGTTCTCCAAGCCAAGCTGCATTCCGTGGCGATGAATGGTGGAATTTCACTGGCGATGGGTAACTCACTCTGCTTTACTTGTGAATTTGACGTCAGCCCACCACTTACATCCACTCTTTGGTGTAGATGCTGTTGACCTTCACTGTTTGCTTCTAAAGAATAAAGTAACTGGCACTCAAATCGGAAAGCTATATCGACAGGTATCTTCTGAAAGTCTTCAAGAAAGGGTTGTCATTATTAAGTACATTATTCGGACTCAAGTACAGCTCGCGAACTCGCTTAGTCGTGTGCAGTTCGCAGCTTCATATCGTCTATCCAAACGCCAAACACGCTGATGAACGAATGTCTTCCTAAACACTACCGGTCTAACCATGCAACCGGATATCTTCAAACACTGCCAATCCATTATGAGAAGCTCCAGGCGGAAAAGAGGCAAAACGTAACTTGGACAATCAACAACAACCACCTCCTCTCCGCCGATTGCTCAACGTGAACACCTCTTCCCACTCCCGTAGTCCCCAGTTCTGTGTCCTGTTCTTTTTCCTCCTCCTTCTCAGTCCGCTGTGCCCATCTTCCACAGTGGCGCCCGTCATAGAACTCTTGATGCTGCCTCCGTCACTAGCTGTGTTCCATCCACCACTGTCGCCATACTGGATGCCACTCGCTGGGTCGTCAGGGTCGATTTCTCCCAGTTCAATCTTTGTGAGAATTATTCTTGCTAGCCTTTCGAAGATCTCATCGACGCCCTCGCCGTTGAATGCGCTCGCCTCTGTCACCACTGATATTCCTGCAGTGCTGGCCCATCGGCTGGATTCCGCTCGCGTAACTTCTCTGCCTTCTGGTGCGACTGTTGCTCTTTGTTGGCTTCCTGCGCTTATGGATGCTCCGCGATCCCTAGTCGTGGCTGTACTTGTATAAGAGCTGCCTCCAGCACCGAGCATACCAGATGTTAGTGTCGAGTTGGATGTAACGCTGGTCGGTGTCGGGGGCGGAAGACTTGTGTCGACGAGTGTATCGGTAAGATCGAGTTTGTTGCCAACGAGCATAAGACTCAGGTTAGGTGATGCAAGCGCCCGAGCATCATTTAGGAAAGGCTGTAGGTTTCGGAAGGATGCGTGAGATGTGAGGTCGTAGACGAGGATAGCGCCCGCGGCGCCTCGATAATAAGAGCGAGAGACTGATCGAAAACGCTCTGTTCCAGCCGTATCCCAGAGCTAAGTCCTGTTAACGTGCTTTCTTTGTCGCGCGAGCGAGTGTAATGTACCTGAAGCTTTATCCGTTTCCTTCTTGACCCAGTACCAACTTTGATGATCTTTGTAGCAAACTCTACGCCGATAGTTTGCGACGACAAGACTCTCCATTCATTCTTGACAAAACGATGTAGTAGGCAGGACCTATAAGAGCGCGAACAGTCAGTCAAAGACTCTGGTGTAGAAGCGCGACTGTTGGGAAAGAAAGCTTGCGATGGCTCGCTTGCTCGCCAAATGTCTCGATAATGACGTACTTTCCAGTTCCGCTGGGCCCAAGCAATATAATCTTGGCCAGGTAATCATACATGCTCCCTAGCTCCTTATCATGGTCAGCCGCCTGGTATCGCGTCGACAACGATTTTCCTCTCGCCTACCTGCTCCCGAGCCGTACCCGAGCTCTCCTCGCTCGCGCCGGAGTGCCGGCGAGGCCTGGTCATTGCGGGCAAATGACGAGATGGCGGAAAATAATGGCGGATATGTTTTAGGCGGTCGGACGATTATCGCATGTCTTGGCTCTCGGTTGTGTTATCGCGATAGTAGGTATTTAGGAAAGGCAAGTCGAGTATGTAGAGAGAGTTGTTGTCGGACGTAGGTAGGATATAGAGGAGGAGTAGGGGGTCCTTGTTCTTGTTTTTGTGGCCGTTGAAATTGACAAGAAAAGACGATGCAATGCGATCGATCCCTGGACATGGATGAAATGGATGTTTACATGCCCTGTTCTGTCTGCTCGGTGAGAGCGAGGGTGGGTCGCCCTGTAAATAGCTGGAGTCCTCAAGCTGTAACGGGAGATAGCGTCATTAGGTGATGATAACGTGACGATGTATCCGTAAAAGGGAGTCCGATAACACCGCCTGAGCTCGAGTGGATCGTTGTCACTGCTTGAATTACTGGGATAAGATAATTGGCTACAGATAAAATAGATTTGCCGATCGGTAGAGATGTAAAATCTGGGGTTCTCGGGACATGAAATCTCTGATTCTTCTGCTGATATGCAGCCTGATTCACACCAGATGCGTCCTCGCCTAGGCCTTTGCTTGCGACTTGCGGTGCTTCATGTCTGCATAATTGATAATGCGGCATTTGTCTCAGAGATTCAGAGTCGTTTCAACTCTCAAGTTATGAATTGAAACAGAAAGTACAAGAATAGAACTGTGTTTTGCCAGTTGACTGACGTTTGCACTATTCCGGGTAAATAAGCTTATTACGTATGGAAAGACTAAGACAGTGACACACAAATTTTTAGCAGTCTGACCTAGGTAAAAAACAGAAGCTGGTAACAGCCAACGTCCTCTTACAACTCCAAAATATTTATACTGTAGGCCAGCCATAGAAAACCGATATGCGATATCCTCCAATGTTTATTCTGTACGTGGCATTGTTTGCCGTCGACGTAGGACCGAATGCAAGACCTGAAAAGCTTATTGACTCATTGGCTCTTCAAAAAGATACATTGGATGGATACATATTAGCCACTGGCCGATCTGCGGCCAATCTTGAGTCACCAAGCATGGGTCTACATAAAAGCCCCCTCCCGCACTTTTCACTCCCAGCAGAGTCAAGCAAAGTAGACAACATCAGCTAGCAACACGACACATAGTTCGGACACAGCAGAATCTTGATGCTAAAGCAGACACAATGCAGTCAGCCAACAACCCCATCTCCCACCATACCAGCCACACCATGGGCCAAGGTGCCGCCAGTAGCAACGGCGGCGACAATAGCTGCGGAGCGAATTGCGTGGATAACCATGTTAGCCATGCAATTGGCGATGGAGATGGGGTTGTCCGAGTCTCGGGTGGAGAGACTGGTAAGATTCTATGAGATAGACAATGTTGGTTCCTAGCTAATGCCTCATAGGAAACGATGGAGGCGTCGTCATGGAAGCCTCCGTAACGGATGTTGGTGTCAACGAATTGAACCAAACTACTACTACTACCTACGATGAATCGGACGATGAGAGCTCCCTTGCGGACAGTTCCGGCTCCATTAGCGATGGACCCAGCTTTGGAGGAACTTCGATCCGATCCCTGGGCAGCATGTCCAACTGGAGCATCATCGACACTACTCTGCGTGAGGGCGAGCAGTTCATCCATGGCGATTACGACACTGAGACTAAGCTCAAGATTGCGCGAGCTCTGGATGACATCGGCGTTGAATACGTGAGTCCGTTGAAAAAGCACACAATTGATCTCAACTAACACATGATTTAGATTGAGGTGACCTCACCTGCTGCTTCTCCTCAGTCCAAGTTGGACTGCGCCGCTATCTGCAAGCTGGGTCTCAAGGCCAAGGTTCTTTGCCATATTCGATGCAACATGGACGATGCCAGAATCGCGGTTGAGACCGGTGTTGACGGAATGTAAGTCGAATCAAACTCTCATGTAACTCTCATATCCAACTAACACTCGTGCCACAGCAACATGTGCATTGGTACTTCCACTCAGCTCATGAAGCATTCCCACGGAAAGGATCTCGACTGGATTGCCGCCAAGGCCAAGGAGGTCATCGAATTCACCCAAGCCCACGGCATCGAGGTCCGATTCTCTGGCGAGGATTCATTCCGCTCCGACTTCAGTGAGATTCTGAAGCTCTACTCGCTCATGGACCGTCTCGGCGCCCACCGCGTTGGAATTGCCGACACCGTTGGCGGCGCTTCTCCCCGTGAGGTCTATGAAAAGATCTCCACGCTCAGGCAGATGATCGGATGCGATATCGAGACTCACTTCCACAACGACACCGGATGTGCTGTCGCCAATGCCTACACTGCGATTGAGGCTGGGGCCACTCACATTGACACCACTGTCTTGGGCATCGGAGAGAGGAATGGAATTACTTCCCTTTCCAAGCTCATGCAGTGCATGCTTCAGATGGGCCACGACTCTGTTCTGGCCAAGTACAAGCTTGAGAAGATCCCTGCTCTCGAGCAGCTTGTCGCTGAAGCCGTACGCATCGAGATCCCCTGGAACAACGCTTCACTTGCAAGATATCTCTGAATGTAACAAGTCAGAGATCGCCTCGCAAGGCTAGAGCCAGATGGCTCAATTTACCTTTCTACTGCTAAGCTTTTAGTGAAGAGTATCAAGTAGTACTCATATAGTGAATAAAAAATCCGTCCAAGATAATGTTGCCGTCTGTCGTGTATTCAAGTTACCCTGCATCATCATGTTGCCACAACAATTGGAACAAACGGAAAGTGAAAGCCTTTCAGAAACACTCTGATTATTTCGTTTATGATATTAAAAAGTCCGACATGAAATAATTCAATAGTCTCACTTGCACTATAGGTGATTGCAAGCATCCATCCAATATCATGACTTAGACTATGAGGACCCATCAAATGTGACAAGTTGCCGAGGCATGTTCGGGTCAGCCACCCCCGGATTCCCCACGTGTGCTTAAGTTAAGTCGCCGAGAGTGAATGACATCTCCAGGTCAGTTCGATACCAGTTCATTCCGATTCTTTTCCTACTCCTCATAATAAGTTATACTCAACAGTCATCATGAAGATCCAAGGCCGAACATTTGTCATTTCTGGAGGGTAGGTCAAGTCACATCAAAACACTCTTTCACGTGTCGCTGACTTGGATATAGTGCTTCCGGCTTGGGCCAGGCATGCGTTGAAGATATATGCGCCAATGGCGGCAATGTGGCCATTCTCGACATGAACGAGGAGAACGGACAAGAACTAGTCAAGAAATTGGGTTCATCCGCCAAATTCTTTGAATGCAATGTGTTGGAGACAGAGAGCGTTACCAAGGCTGTCCAAGGTGCCGCACAATGGGCCAAAGAGACCGGGAAGCCTCTTGGAGGTGTGATTGCTGCAGCTGGTGTATCAACTCCTGCGACGGTAAGATTCTTCAGGTTGGTGACTGAGTGTGTGAGACCGTGACTGACTGAATACCTAGATGCTCGACCGTAATGGTGCGGCGTTCAGCCTCGATGACTTTGACTTTGTGATCAATGTCAACCTCCGCGGCACAATCGACCTCGTGCGTCAGACTCTCGAGCATCTTGCAAAGGTAGAGCCCGAGGGATCTGATGGCGAGCGAGGCGTTGTCATCATGGTGGCTTCATCAGCAGCCTTTGATGGCCAAAAGGGTCAGGTCTCTTATTCTGCCAGTAAAGGCGCCGTGACAGCCATGACACTTCCCATGGCACGAGATCTTGCTCGATATGGTATCCGAGTCGTGACCATTGCGCCTAGTCTGTTCGACAGCCGAATGACGAGTGTGATGCCCGAGAAGGTCAAGAAGAGCCTTGAGGGCGCGATGGAGTTTCCCAAGAGAGCTGGTCAGCCTAAGGAGTTTGCGCAATTGGCGCGACAGGGAATTGAAAATGTCATGTTGAATGGTGTTGTCATTAGATTGGATGGTGCTATGAGAATGCCCAGCAAAATGTAAGATAGATTTTCATCTTGGATTATTGAGAGTGGTCAGATTTGTCAGATTTGAAATACAATAATGTATTGGTAATTTGAATGATCATGTAATTCACTTTGTTTACTAGACATCCACTGAAGCTTGGCTTGACTCTGCCGAGAATAGTATCCGGGGGAGCTATTGCGAAATCGGATCGGCATCCGGCAGAGAACTTAGCCACCCCGCGACATTTCATAATCAACGTCACAACCTTCCGTTTAAAACTCTAGAATATCTCCATGAATAACAATTGAAAGGAGGATTAATAGCGGCTGCCTTAAAGAATTAACCCGACATCCCTTGCACAGAAACAACAGCCTGACACAGTGTCTACAAGACGACTACTTACACTGCTTACCTCTCCATTTAACTCATACACCAACACAGCTACAGCTGTATCATCATAACCACCAACCCATTTGCGACTTTAACAATGGCTCCAACTAAAGTGGCAATCTTGGACGACTACCAAGGGGTTGCTGACCCCTTTTTCAAGAAACTCGACCCATCCAAGTATGAAGTTGTGTCTATCAAGGATACGTTGCTGCCTTACAACCACCCAGACAGCTCACAATCGAACAAGGATGCTTTAGTTGAGAGATTCAAGCCCTTCGATGTTATCTGTAAGTATCATGTCTTACTAAAAGGCCCGAGAATAAGCGGCTGATCGACCTAGGCACGATGAGGGAGCGCACACCCTTCCCACGAGAGTTGATCGAGCAACTCCCTTCTCTCAAGCTTCTCCTCACCACAGCATTTCGCAACAGATCCCTGGACCTAGATACCCTCAAAGAACGAGGGATCCCAGTTGCCGGAACAGTTGATAAGCCCCGGAGCGGCAAGCCGGTCCTCGCTGGCACGGGCAGCACCACTCAACACTGCGTCACTCTCATCCTCTCGCTCGCTCGAGGCATCGCCAGGGATGACGCTGCTGTCAAGGAGGGCCTGTGGCAAACCGGTCTCGCGACTGATCTCTCAGGTAAAACTTTGGGTGTCCTCGGCCTCGGGAGATTGGGAAGCGCAGTCGCGAGGATTCTCAACGTCGCATTGGGTATGAAGATTATCGCGTGGAGCAGCAACCTCACACAGGAGGCGGCAGATGAGAAGGCCAGGGAAGCCGGTCTTCCTGTTGAGGATGGGGAGGGTGAGAAGACGTACAAAGTGGTAAGCCGAGACGAATTCTTCAGAACTGCCGACGTGGTGTCTGTCCACCTTGTCCTGTCTGATAGGACACGCGGCATAGTCAACAAGGAGGACTTGGCAAAGATGAAGTCGACAGCCTTGTTTGTCAATACCTCTCGCGGCCCCCTCGTCGTGGAGAGGGATCTTCTCGACCATCTCAAGGCTGGCCGTATCAGGGGCGCAGCTGTCGACGTCTTTGAGCCGGAACCTCTCCCCGCCGACAGTGAGTGGCGCAACAAGAACTGGGGTCGCGATGGATCAAGTCAGGTTCTGGTCACCCCTCACATGGGCTATTGCGAGGAGGACACCATCAAGTCGTGGTATGAGCAACAGGTTGAGAACATTGAGCGATGGGCTGCCAACGAGCCGCTACACAACGTATTCACCTAGGTATGATCGGCGAAAGAGAAAAGACAAGGACAAGGCTTCTGGAAGATGCTTATATGCAGAACCGAGTTTCATCTTGACGGTAGAGGAAAAGCAAATCTGAACAAACAAGAACGACTGCATACATCCATGACCTTGACAGTTCATCGTGATAGGCTCTATAAATGAAACAATGGGAACGAATCCTCTGATATGCATGAGACTGCAGTTGGCGATCGGCGTGTTGGGACGGGCCTACCCGTGGCATCCCTGATGATACGACGGCCCCGGACTTTTCGATATGTGTCTGAAATATATGTTTCGTTGATTTTTCACCGAATTGAAGCCTTGGACCCACGGTGATAGTCGTGGATCAAATGACTTACATGGCCTTGGCTGTAGATCATGGCCCCATGAGTTCCCTCGTGGATTTACTCGACACATCCCCGTTTCTTCAGGCTGTAATGCATGTCCTGATTCAAATACATGCAGAGGTGATGTGTTTACGGGTATTATGCTCAATGGCAAGGATCCGCAATGTTTCGGACCTCGACTTCTGTATATCCAATGATGCTTCGTATCGCTGTTGATATTTGGGTCGAAATGACTATCACATAGTCGTGGAAACTATTTGCTCCGTGATGTGATTAACGAATGAATGAAAGTCTTTGCCGCCATGTTTGGGTTCAGCAGACCTCTTTCACAGCCCTAACCTACATCCATCCTGCAGTATCGCAAGGCGGTTCTCGACCATGCCTCATCAAATGCCGAATTTCCACAATGCACTCAACATCACCAGTTGAGGCAGAACAGCCGCCAGATCACATATCTCACCGCTAGAGGCGCTGAGGAGGCGTGTCTTGTTAATATCAGCCTTGGGATCTTCAGCTGGTATCGGGAGCGGTGGCGCGTCCCTTTCTGGCTGCATTTGAGACATTGAAGCCTCGAAATCGAAAACGTGACCTTATAAGACTAGCTATTCGCGCTCTTATACGATAAAACTAAGCCTAGAAAAGGTGATCTCAGCATAAGCCAGATGTGATTCAAGCCTCTTCAGGAGATTGGCTTTTTTTTCGAGTCTTGGATTATTGATGTTAGTCGCTCTGCTGGCGTGATGGTTCGGGAACGGCACGAAGCGATGGATTATATCGTTCGCTTCAGGGACTATCGTGGATCTAGTTTGGAGTTGCAGATTTGCACTAGGATTTTGGGGCAGGGATTGCTGTTTCTGGAGTCTCGTGGCTATGGCGTTGGTGTTTTGGCCGCTTATGGTGGAGCATACTCGGTTCATGGCTTGCTGAGAAGCAGCTGGAAAGACTGGATATGGATTGATACATGTCTCCTCTCGTCTCCTTGGTCTCTCATTGATCTCTGTCAGATAACGGGGTCTGAGTATCCTATCCTGTTGTTCCCCCGCGCATACCCCCCTTGTCTCTAAACGGGACAGTTGCATCACGATCTCGACAAGGGTCAAGGGTCTAGGCTCTGTAAGCTCGTTGGACTATTGAGCCCTTGTCTGGTCTGATGGGGATTGTGATTGAATCCGCATGTCGCAAACAAAGGACTCTTTTAGAAACCCGATTCTCTGGACCCTTTTATTAGGATTTCTGTTATTGTCTGTGGCCTTTTTCGCTGAGTCGGCCTCTCTGAGTCGAGTCTCAAGGACATTTCATTCCGATGCAAGAAAGCGGACTAGACGGAGCCACTAGAGTTGATAAAAATAACGGCAAACAGTGACGTCGCTTAGATGGTTTGAAGTTAATTTTGCAGAGACACAACTCTACTTAGCTTGCAAGCTCAAAGCCTTCAACGTCATGAAAGATGCTGCTCTAGCTTCAACGGACCAAGGTGCCATAGACGCTACATCTCTTAAAGCAAGGTAGATGACCGTTGAGTAGTTGACCGTTGAGCAGAGTCAAACGGCACAAGAAGGGGAGCTTGGTTGATGACTCGATGGTACCTGGTAACTAGAGGACGCCCGCCCGTTGAACCTAAAAAGTACATACCGTTGGCAGGCATGGATGATCCTGGTTCTCATACTGTGTTGTTTGTGGATGTCCTCCGACTGCTCCTTTGGTTTATTAAGGTATTTTCACATGCGGGGATAAGCGAGTGAGATCAACTGAAGCGAGCTGAAGAGACAGATGAAACTTTTCTCTCCCCCTCTGGAACTAGCCCTTCCAAGCTCTGCTTGCCCGAGACGGACCCGTCAGCGACATTCTCCCTCTGGTGCAAATGGCCAACTTACACGAGAAAACCTGAACCTTCTCCACACGTCATGAGAGCTTTCAGCTTCAGTACATTTGCGCTTTACCCTTAGTGATCTAGTCTTCGGATGTCTCGTCTCAATAATTCATCCTCACCAGCTGAGGGTATGGTAATAGTCGCTTTTTTCTCTTCTTTTCATGTGTGCGGGTACACCTCGAAGGAAAAAAAGCCATCCAGGACTAGAGTCGATGTGCCTTGTGTGTGCTGACCTGTAAACATCATCACCCAAAGAACCCCAATTGGTTTGGCTTTTGATACTGTGGTAAGCAAATAGTGTACTTGGATGATCAACACGATGCTTATATGCTAGGTTGGTTTCTCAAAGCCACTGTAACTATATCCTAGACAGCATCATGTTGGGCAGACAGACATGAACAAAAGGCCCTCGTCCAGATCAAACCCCAGGAACCTTGTCCGGGAAGGACAAGCAATCACAAAGGAAGACTATCCCCGTAGCGTAACCCGAGTTACACCTCTCTCCTCTCGTCTCGTCTCCCGGGAGTATCAATATCAGAGTCAGACTCCATTCCGTGTCGTACCCTACCTCACCTTACCTTAGGTACCCTGGGCCTTCCGATGTGATGCCCACCCTCGATGGGAGCTGAGATGCAGATGCGGCTACTACACTCAGGGACTACGCCACTTGCACCGTTTGGTCTGAGGTGTGGTTCGATTGAAGATATCATTGCTCGGGATGTTATGCCCTTCCCTCCTGCCCTTTCTCTTTCTTGCTCTCCTCGATATAAAATCCCCGAGTACGCCATCGAAGAAACTCTCTTTTGTCAGGTCCCTTCCATTAGCATCAGGTGCCATCTCATCTCATCTCATCTCACCTCACGTCACCATTCCTGAGCATCCTACTCTTCTCCCTTCCCCTACCATACAGACACCACCAAGCACCACTGAAATCAAGTCACAATGGTCCAATTCACTCGTGCCGATACGGGCATGTCTGGCTTGCCTACTGAGGAAGCCGTAGCGGATCGCAGAGCAGGCAGTCCCATCCCCAACCGCGTGAGGAACGCCATCGTCATCGTCCTCGGAGAATTCTGCGGAACCTTCATGTTTCTTCTTCTCTCCTTCATCGGTGCCCAGACTGCCCTCGTTACCAACAACCCTACCAATTCTACTGCCCCCTTGGAGCCCTTTTCATTGATGTACATTGCTGCTTCTTTCGGTACTGCTCTCGCCGTCAATGTCTGGATCTTCTATCGTGTCAGTGGTGGCATGTTCAACCCGGCTGTAAGTGACACTCGCACCAACTTGTTTGATTGACTCACATGCTCATTCTTTTTCCTTCTTTAGGTGACTCTCGGTCTGGTTCTCGTCGGTGCTGTACCACCTCTTCATGCCCTTGCTATCATCCCTACCCAACTCGTTGCCGCTATCGCCGCCGCGGGAGTTACTGACGGTCTCCTCCCCGGACCCCTCCTCGTCACAAATGCTCTCGGCAATGGTGCAAGCATTGCTCAGGGTGTTTTCCTGGAGATGTTCCTCACTGCCCAACTTGTCTTGACTGTTTACTTCCTTGCCGTTGAGAAGCACCGCAGCACACATCTTGCCCCCATCGGCATTGGTATCTCTGTCTTCATCGCTCACATCTGCTTGACAAACTGGACTGGCACATCCATCAACCCTGCTCGATCCTTTGGTCCTTCAGTTGTCGCTGGTTTCCATGGATATGATTGGATCTACTACCTAGGTCCCTTCATGGGTTCTTTCCTGGCCTTCGGCTGTTACAAGATCTTTAAGGTGCTCGAGTATCAGACCGCCAACCCTGGCCAGGATGACGACGATTTGGAGAGGGGTAGCAAGCATCACTTCTTCGATCATCACGAGAAGGAGCCCATCGCTCACTCCCAGACCGACACTCTTGAGCCCAAGGACCATGGTGCTGCCCCACGAAATGATAGCGTCATTGGCGGTCAGATGAGCCATGCCTAAGTTGTTCCCGGCGATCGGGGCTGCTCGAACCACATGTCCAGCACTGGCTGTATGACTGTGTGAGCAGTACATGATTATGAGTTCCGTTACATTCTGTCATGGTACAGCGGGCTCTGACACAAGGCTGGATCTATGTGTTGAACCATTCACTACTACATCGTATCAGTGTATGTCGCACGACGATGACTTTCTAATGGGTGTTTTTTGGGAAAGAAATGGAGGGGAAATTGGAGCATACGAGGAGGATGCATGATTAAACGAGGACCTTTAGCATGAGTTTCGGAGTACATACAGTTTCAATAAGACATCTGGGCTTGCTAAATATAGTGCAGCTCATTTACCCCGATTATCTTGAAAGTCATTCCACTCGTTGTCGTCGTCCTTGGCCGTCAACCCTATCGCCTCTTCCTCCTCGGGGCTCCTAAGGTTCTTCACCCGCATACAGGGCTGGAAACCAACAAAAGCTGTCCAAAACGGGAGTGGGATAAAGCTTATAACACCCCCGATGTAAACTATATAAACAAAAAACCCAAGCCATGATTGTATGAATACAAGAGTTTTGTTGATTGGCCCGTAACCCGAACCAATGAGGTCTGTGAAGACCAGGCCGGCAACCATTAAAATACCAAAGACCCAGAGGATACTCAAGACTGGTAGGACCATAGCCCAGTCTTTCGTTTCATAGAAGAACCTGTGGAAACGCTTGGTCCATGGTGCCAACATGGGTATACGGGAAGCTGTGGTGAAAAGGAGAAACAGCTCAAATGTGAAGGGGAGAAGCAGGAAAAGGAGGCGGAAGGAGAGTGAGTGCACGAGAAGCTGGTATGTTTCTGCGAACAAGAGGAAGCCAAATTGGTACGACCACAGGCTATAGACCGCGGTCTTGAAGGGAGATCTTTCTGTTGACATTGTGATGGATGTTTCGATGAAGTTGAGAGGTTGTTGGTTTTGAAGTTGACGCAGGGGTAAAGTAAAGTGAGCGCTGATCACTGATTGCTGTGCCCCGCTGTGCCGCTTGATGGATGATCCTTGTTGCAGATATGGAAATAGCACGGCAACAAGAGCGGTTGATGATAATCATTCCATGTGCGTCATTTTGATCACTTTGCAATTCAATATTGACATAATGCTACTAATTCTAATGTTTGCGAATAATTGGGGCCATATTGGGGGTTGAGATAAAAGCCTGATCGTTGACAGCCTCTCAGCTGCAACGAGACGCATACAAGTCCCACCTACACAATCATTCAATAGACTACCAATTCAAGACCAGAAAATTCAGTTCTATGATGCACTGAGATTGCTCTCGAGTGCTTGGCTTAATGCTGTAGAACTTATTGACCCAGTAATGGGATGTGACAGTTTCGCATATGCATGCATCGATGCTCATGTAAAAGATCACATGCAGTGCTTGGCGACCAGGACATACACAGAAGCTGTGTTAGTGAGAGGCAACATATCAACTGAGAAGAAGATGCATGTGCAACAGTGACTGCAGGTATGACAGTTAGAGGTCAGAATATAGGAGCAGTTGTCCCGTGTCTGGAGGGATATTGTAGTCGATGTAACAATATTGGACTGTGACATGAGGGAGTAATCAGGTGATGTGTATTCATCGAGCCCGCATGTAACACCATGTTAGGCTCGAATTGACTCTATAGTCTCAAGGCCATTAGATCTGGTTGTAACTAGAGCATCCACTGCGCCGGGCATCGATGCTTCTCTTCGGCCGCAAAGTGGATATTATCGGGTCCGTTCGACCGAGGTTGTCAGTCAAGGTCTGGAGAGAAGGATACTTGATGTAGATGAAGCAACATTAAATGAGCTCTTAATTAGTGATTAAGTAGGCATTGAATTAGTAGCCAGGGAGAGAATAAACAAGGTATTGAGTGCTCCATATATACAAGAGATAATATTTTATCAGATGCCGTAGCCAGTTCCTCGGTACCCGGGAATGGCTGCGGAGCTCCATATGTAAAGTGTTGCTGTTCCGGTTCCGGTTTCGCCTCGTATGGCATTTAGCTTGATGTACGAAAACAAATCAAAAGCATATGATATATAATTATATATGAATACTTAATAGAACTCGAGTTCCAGTAATTAATCTTGGCAATATAGTTGCAGTTAAGAACAAATTCGTCTTAAGGCTGTCGATCTTTCGAGGTTATGACGACTGAAGAGGCCCAAGTTACAGCACATCCAACGCTATACTGTCCTATACCGTTGGCTGCGCCTTCCCTTGGAACAGCCATCCCAAAGAGCATATGACCCACGTGATCATCTTGTAGTTGTTCCTGATGCTTCCAATGGGATATGCCTGATCAATCCTAGCCTTTTACATTTGACTGTCTACAGCATCATTCAGTACAATTCAACTCATCTCATCAATTGATTAGAGGACCTGACCTCTCTTACACAGAGTCTGGTCAGGCCTGACAGGCCTAGAACCCGCCCCCACTTGTCCCTCTGAGCTGGGGCCCTCCCGACAAGTACACCACAGTCTTGCCCCGGCCCAACGCAGCATCGGCTCCGTGTACTTTACCTCTACTTTTACCTTTGACTCGAAACAGTCACAAGGCGGAGAATTCTCGTCCTAGTCGGGCTTTTATCTACTGTGCCTTGTTTTTTTAACCCCTAAAGGAGAAAACCACCTTCACTGTCTTTATACTGTCCCTCGGCGCAGTAATCTACAGCTTCATTCATCGGACAGACCCGGCCCAAAGTTCCTAGGTGGGGTTTCAATGTCAAACGCGGGGCTCACTCTCTGCCTCTGACGACTCTTGCCGACTTAATTACAATACGGAACTGACCTGGACTGGACTGTACAAGAAACTCACCAGACTTTGTGGCACATCATGTCGTCGGTCAAAGCCACAAAGAAGAGCGCTTTCTCTTGTGAGCCGTGTCGTAGACGCAAGGTCAACACAATCATTGCTTCACCTATAAACCTGTACTGATACCCTTTAGGTCAAATGCGGCGGCGAGCAACCGATTTGCAATCGCTGTGCTGCTAGAAGCGATGACTGTATTTACAAACTGTGGGACTCACCTCGGCCTCATTACTTTCTGAGCAATTGCTCACGTGTCATAGAAACCCGACTCTGTCTTACACCCAGCGCCTTGAGGAACGCATCAAAGAATTGGAAGACCAACTCGCTGCTATCAAATCTCCTCCCTCAGTGGCTGCCTCCAATCATTCGAGTCCTGGCGTCTGGAACGGCCATGACTTGAATCGCCATCCGGATGAGCATGCAATGACGAGGAGCTTCATGGGTCTCAAGATCGACGACAAGGGTGGCATTACTTACCATGGACCGACCAGTCTCTTCAATCTTCCCAGTGACCCTCACAAGCATAAGCCAGACTCGATATCATCCATTGACTCAGATGCTCATAGGAGAGAGCGATTGGTCAACAATGCTTGGCATCAGCGAGCGATGGAAAACCTGTCTGATATCCCAGTAGGTTTTCGTGTAATCCACAGTCTCATGAGTCTCAACTTACACCACAAAGGAACCATTTCAATACCTTCTGAACGTACATTGGTGCTGGATCCAGCCTCTTTTTAACTTTATCTACAGGCCTGCATTCACTCGTATGCTTCACCTCAGCATAATGTAAACTGTAACTAACACTCACAGGTGACATGCAATCCATGGGACCGTACTATTCTCACACTCTTTTGAATGCTATGCTCTCACATTCCATCCGCTGGGGTAAAAGTGATCCCTCCACCAAACAATTGCTGGATCAGTCTTATGATGGAGGAGCTGTCTTTGCAAAACACGCCCGAAGTATGCTTTTCGACGAACTAAGTAGAGGTGTTTGCACCATCCCAACTGTCCAGACATTACTACTTCTCAGTGCAGGGGAGTGTGGCCATGGCAACACAACACAGGCTTGGATTTATAGCGGAATAGCGTTTCGTCTCATCGATCATTTGGGCATTTGTGTTGATGGACAGAGATATCCAGGATCCGTTCATTTGACTGACGAAGAGGTCGAGATTCGACATCGACTTTACTGGAGTTGCTATTTCTGGGATAAGATCATCAGTCTATACCTCGGTCGCTCGCCTTCACTGCAACATACACAGGTGTCTCCGCCCCAGATTATCAGTAAGTTCAGCTGTGGAACACTCAGCGCGCAAGTTACTCATTGTTTCTAGTGGACGACTCGGCTGAGAATGAGCTCTGGGTCCCCTTCGACTCTCCTCATGGATCAGATTGGAAGTATCCTCCCGCGACAGCCCACTCAACTTCTTGTTTCATGAGTGCTTGTCGATTATCGGTCATCTTCAATGAGATTCTTATTCACATGTATGATCCATTACTGGAGAATACCGAGGCAGAGATGCAAGAGTGTCTCCAGACTCAAGACCCTGCCATGAGACTATGGTGGGAACAACTTCCCCCTCATCTCAAGATCGAGCTCTCCGCCATGCCTGAGCTAGCACCCCCATCACACATCGTCACCATGAAGTGAGTATCAGTTTCTGATTTCTGAAAATCGCTAGCTAATCTGATCAAGTGCTCTATATCATACGTTCAGAATCCTCCTGTTCAGGCCGATGCTCAGCTGGCAGGTCTATCCAGAGGATGAAGGCCCTCATCCGATGCAAAACCATCTTGTGGAATGCGTCACATCTGCGACATCTATCATAGCCATCTTCGATCTTTTCTGCAGAACATTCACCATCAGCCACTGCGTTCTATCACTCTCGTACAGTGTGTATATCGCGGCCACAATCTTCCTTTTGCAGGTTCAAGCTACGCCTGAGGACCAACAAGCAGTTCGCAAGCTGAGCTTCTGCGTAAGAGCCTTGCATCAGGCCAAAACTGTTAATCCAGGTGAGTAGCTCAGGTTAATATCTATGCAAGCTCTAACAGACCACACAGTCATCTCAAGTGCTTTGGATCTGATCACCCGAGAGATGGCGAATCTTGGGCTTGACCCGGGATTTAGTACACCACAACAACAGCCTCCTCCACCTATGCCTCAACCTATGGCAGATGTTCCGATGCCTACAGACATACCGATTACCGAGACTATTTACCCAGCTTCATTTGATATACCCGCACAGCAATCACCTTACGAGCCGGAGCAGCTGTTTCAGACACCGTGGGCTGACAATATGAATCCGAATGCAATGGCCGTCGACCGAGGAGTTTTCGAGGCTTTATCTTCCTTTGAGCCCCTGAGTGTGCGGGTGGGCGCTATCTACGAGTCAGGAAACAATCCTCAGAATTTTGGTTGATCAAGGATACTGTGGTAGCAGCATTCTGGAATAATCAAAACTGATGTGATCGACGTCAATGACAGCAGGATTTACAGAGATCAAGAAACCGATACAAATCCGATACCAGGAAACTCAAATGAACTGGAAATCAACTTCTCGGTTGGGTATGAGGCACTCAAGAAACCACGGATCTTGATTCATTCAATAGCAAAGAGCTCGCCGAGAGAAGAGGCTTCCTCGATATTGATAGTCTTGACTTTCAGCTCCCACATCAGGACATGGATGCCGAGTTACCGTTATATACCCGCATCTGCCGAACCCTCAAGGTCCGCACGCCGAACCCTGCTCGGCCCTACTCGGAGAAGATGTTATCGAAGTTATACTTCTAACCATAAGCTTCATGCTGGAACATGGAGTCATGGCTTGATTTTTATAACCTAGCGCTCTGTGTAGAATGGCCCTTGGACTGGTTGTGGCCATTCGGAAATCGTTCTTGACGTTTCAGGTCGCAATGCAACGGCAGAATGATGGTCAGATGAATAATAGTCAGATATGATATGAATACATAAACGAAAATATTAACAAGTACACGTCTCCGTTGCAGAAAGAACGAAATCCGCTTTGAACACCATAAATGAGATACCCCCTTACTCAGCCATAACTGATCTCAATCACTGCTCTGCCTTCCTTGATGGCCTCTGGACATCCCATAGATCTTCAGCATTACCTCTAAACAGCCGCTCTTTGAAATATTCATCATCGTCACACCAGCTCAGCACTCTCTCCATCCAGGGCTTGATATCCAATCCCTCAAATCTTGTGTGAGGCCAGTCAGTTGCAAAGACAACATGAGTCTTTCCAGCGACTCGAATGACCTCCTTAGCGATGGGATCCAAATCGCTGTAGTCAGGGAGTGTGCTAATTCTGTAAGCGGCCGACAGCTTGACATATGTCTGGCCGTTTTTGAGTAAATTGATGAGGGATGAGAAGCCTGGTATGTCGTATGGCTCTGCGCCTGCGTATTTGTTCAGGGGTGGTTGTCCAAGATGATCTATGCAGAACTTGACGTTGAGCTTCGGAATGATATGTTCAAGGAGAGTGACCATATCCATAGGGACATAGACCTGAACAACCCATCCCAAGGGTCTCACAGCATCAGCGTAAAGCATCAACAGCCTCTCCAACTCGGCCGCATCAATCACAAGTTCATTCGAGAGGATATTGAGTCTCACTCCACGCACACCTATTTCATGCCACGAGCGCAGCTCTTCTTGATTGACAGCCTCGGGGTCAATAGCAACAACGCCTCGTCCACGGTCGGCACCAAGGGCACGCAGACCATCGAGCAGACACGAGTTGTCAAGGCCATAGATAGATGGCTGAACGAGAACTATGTTTCGAAGTCCAACGCTAGTTTCAAAAGCGAGAGCTTGGTCCAGACTGTGAGATGTAGGACGGTATTTGGCTGAAGCATCAAGGGTGTAGTTCTCAACATCGACAATGTGCATGTGTGAGTCCCAAGAGTCGGGAGGAATACGTTGAGCAAGGGTTGATGAGGCCATGACGAAGATATTTGGGTGTATATGATTAATTGAAGAAGTTATAGAGGGTTTCGAGGATGATATATAGTCTGTCAGTGTAAGTGTAAGTGTAAACTAGTGATGCTATGTCCGACTGGGGAACCGAGGTCGGCCGAGTCGGCGGGGAAGACGAGACGAGAGTTTAAACTCCGCAATTCAACGGACGGCGACTTCCGAGACTCAGTTAATTTACCGAATATCATTTATTCTATCGCGTTTCTACTTCATTTCATATCCTAGGAATTGTTTATATATATGCTTGGCATAGTAACGGCAGTTGTCCTTGTTAGCACGTGAGAGGGTTTGCAGGCATTAATGATAGCTACATGCGAGCAGCACGCCCTGAGTGCATAGGGCGTAGCGCATGGTTCAAAGAATGCCCAACGGCAATAATGAAATCCACAAATATAGCCGAGATGGCCTGGGCACTCACTAAGCATTGATTTGATATCTGTAGTCTAACTGAGCGTACAAGAATCGTATGCACAGCCAACATAAGCCGGCAACTCACACATCAACAGGCGTATAAGCAGAATTACCTATTTCAAATACCTCACAGCCCTGTAGCTCACTCCCGTTGCAGTAAATCTGTTCAGGTAATCAAGCACTAAAACACAGCCTCAACCGCTGATTTCTCGCTAAAATGAAAAAACCGCGGGGCAAAAGAAAAAAGACCCTTGAACTAAAGGGCACGCGCACGCCACCTTCCCAAAAGAGGAAGCAGAGCTCTGCGAAATCCAATCGTCATCTGCGTCTTGAGTGACGCAGCTTCTATTACTATAACCCCCGCCACACTTACTTAGGTACCTTGGGTAGGCTCCCCCTGTAAAGATTTGTCATTCACATAGACCGACAGCCCGAAAAACATTCAAATATCAATGCGATTCCCTCGATAGCTTCACAGAGCAGAACAACTCAATACAATCGCATTCATTTCTATTACCTACCAAAATGTCTTACCTCCCCCCCTTCTTGGCGCGTCTCGCCCGCCCCTTCACACAATCTACTCGTCTCTCAATCGCTCCCGATCAATCCGCTGCATCTGTCATCCCCGAGGGCGCCCAGCGCTGCACCGTCGCTGCGGGATGTTTCTGGGGAACAGAGCATCTGTACCGCAGACACTTTGCCGACAAGGGTCTTATCGATGCAAAGGTTGGATACATTGGTGGTGATCTCGACAACCCTAGCTACCGCGCCGTCTGCGGTGGAAAGACAGGCCGTACGTCGCAATCCTCGCCATTCGCATTTGACCATGACTAACAATCTTAGACGCTGAGGCTGCGCAAATCATCTTTGACCCTACAAAGGTCTCGTACGCACAACTCCTAGAATTCTTCTACAAGACGCACGACCCCACGACGCTGAATCGCCAGGGTCCCGATACCGGCCCCCAGTACCGCTCTGCCATCTACTTCCACAACGAGGAGCAGGAGAAGATTGCGCGCGAGGTCACAGAGAAGGCCAACAAGCAATGGTGGAAGGGCGGCATCGTTACCGAGATTGCGCCCGCCGGAAAGTGGTGGACTGCTGAGGAGTATCACCAACTCTACCTCCACAATAACCCCTCTGGCTATGAGTGCCCGAGCCACTTTATGAGGCCGTTCCCACCTCTAGAGTAAACAAATATTCGAGGATAATTGCATTTTGGCTTAGCAGACGGATGGAAATGGCACCAATGATATTAGGAAACTTAACTTGGAATGAGGCAATGAGAGGACACAAATTCAACATATACCTAGTCACAATTTACAACATTTTTAAATCCACTCCACTCTGAGTATTTGAAGTTTTTTTTATTCTTATTTGCTAATCCTAAAATTAAGAGATTGGAAAATCCATCGACTTGTAGACCGGTTTCAACAAAAAACAGGAGAGGAGTTCATTATCCTCCATCCGAGTAATAATCCTTTTGCTAAAAAATAATACAAAACGCCTACAGCGCTAGTTCTATGCAACTCAATCACCAATCGCTTACTTGCGTCGGTTCTGCTGCATCATCAGGATCTGAACCATGCGGATGAAGATGTTGAGAAAGTCAAGCTCCAGAGAGATACTCTCGTTGACGGGGTCACGGCGGATGACACCAGCCTGGGCGAGACGAGCGTGGTGGAGGACCTTCTGCACATCGTACAGAGTGAATCCACCAAAGACAGCAAGACCACCATACAACCAGATGCTCTCAGTGAAGGCAAGGGTTCGGATAGCGGTGGCGGGGAGGACGAGAGGGGCGAGACCAGAAGCAGCGACGATGGCGGCACCAGCCAGGAGAGGACCACCAATGTAGAGGTACTTCTCCTGCTTAGCAGTGGCACCGACAACGGCGAGACCACCCATCATGGCGATGGTGTAGAGACCGGCACGTCCAAGAATAGCGGGAGGAACGAAGGCGAGAAGAGGAGCGACAAATGCAGCCTGAGTGGCGTTGAAAGCGGTCCAGAGGGCGTACTTGGGGATGTAGCTGGGAATTGTTAGTAAAATGCTTCAACTTTGGCATTGATTAAATTCAAGAACTTACTTGTCAGGGCTGATAGATCGAGTTCCAATCATGGTGGCGAAGCTGAGAGCGAGACCACCAATTCCAACAACCCAAGGGTTGGTAACCATGATTCGGTAAACGAAGCCGGTCTGAACCATTTGTCGAGCCGTCAATCCAATGATACCAACTCCTAGTCCAGTGTGCAAGAAAGTGTTGTTCAAGTATTCGCGCTCGTAAACGGGCATGCCGCCATCCTCACGGGTCTCCCGGTTGAAGACAGCATTGATGGCAACAAGCGTACCACCAAAGATGGCACCTCCAACCAAGAGTCGTCGACTTGTCGACTGAGGCGCTGTAGCAGCTCCCGCAGCCTGCTGATTATATGATCGACCACCAGCGCGGCCTGTTCGTTGGAAAGCATTGCGGGTGGCGGCGGATGTTACGCGCGATGTGAAGAAGTTGGCTGTGGGCTTGGACTGGACGTGGAAGCTTCGGACGGATGCGGTGTTGCGGAAAGCAGTCTTTGACAGCTCAGGAAGCCTCTGCGCAAGTCGCACAGGGCCCTGGCGGACAGTCATTGTGAAGGACATCGTCGTTCTGGCGATGCAGGAGTTGTTGGGGGATATGCAGTCGTTTACAAAAGAAAAGGTTGAAGCGGGGACGGGCAATCGAGAGTATTATAAGTCCCCCGGTAAAAGAATGCAAAGCATGACGTTGGTTCCGGCTGTGGAGCCTACCTAAAATCCGACATCACGTGGCTCAGTCGGTGGAATATTGTGGAAAGAACCGGCGCCTCTCAGTGACTCAGTTGGTCATCATCACTGATCACTCTCGGCGCCTACGGGCTCTAAACTCCAGGCGCCGTCGGATTTACTGGTGTTACGCTATGGGAATAGTTACATCACAGATACCTACGTTGACGTTAGCTTCTTTCTAGCCTCTTCTATTTTCGGCTGCGACTTTTCAATTCCAGTATTATTATGAAGGGCATCAACACCTCCATCAAGGGTATCTACGAAGCATCCTTTCACCCAACATTCACCCCGTTGCATCATGCTTTCTCTCTACCAGAATGTGCTTTACATCGCACCAGAGACTTGATATGTAGTAATGGCAAATGCTCCACGACTTTGACGCCATGCTGCGAAACATAGATCCAATGCTTTCCGTTCCAACTCATTTCCCAATCATTTCCTCAAAATGTCCTCCAAGACGCCGGCCTTTCTTTATCGTAAACTTCCAAATCCTTTCTCGATGACGAACCGCACCGGTCGTCGTGCTCTCTTGGCTCTGTACCCAAACGCAGATCGTGGCATAAAGTTCTGCGATGTGAGCATGGCAACGCTCATGGCCTTGGGCGCAGGACTATCATCTTCTGATTGCCCTTGTCCAGAGGTTTCGCTCGACGTGGGCTCTGTAGAACGTTGGCCTACGCGGTCATCAAACCCCCAATTCGAAACACCACCGGCTCGGATCCAAGACTCCAGGTTACGACATTGACTGACATCCATCCAGTTCAGTCGCCCGCAACCGTTGAGGACATTTTCGACGCCTCGGCCAGTGACACGCACGCAGCCACGAACACTGAGGGCCTCCAAATCGTTCAGATGCAGCGCTACGCTTTCCAAACTTCCATCGCTAACCGCACTTCCGCAGAACGCCAATCGCAGCTCCCGCAACTTTGGCAGACGGAGAGCGACAACCTCTGTCGCCGTGTCAGAGAGTGCACAGCAGAACGATAGGTCCAGATGTGTAAGGTTCTTGGCTGAGTTGACCAGAGCAACGACAGCGTTGTCCGAGAGATATGTGCAATCCGCTAGGCACAGCCTCGATAGCTTTTCAAACCGGAAAGGTGCCCATGATTGAAACCCTGCATCCGTAATCGATGTGCAACGTGTGAGAGACAGCGACTCGATACGGTTCGAAGCATGTGCTGCTAAATGAGCCATGGAACGATCCGTGATATGCTTGCAATAGGAGAGGTTGAGGCGTTTGAGTTTCGGGCACCCAACCACTGTGCCCGGCGGCAGAACATGCTGTGCTGCGTGCTTTTGTTGCTGCTGCTTGCTTCTCGATCGAGCTGCAGAACTTGAGATAACGACCGATTTCGAAGGTGGAGGATCAGGTACAACCCAGCCAACAACGCGGCCTAGAAGATTATCACCAACCTTGCGGCAGTTGCTCCAGTCAACTTCTTCTAATCCCTTTGCGTTCCCGCTCATTTCCAAAATTTGGTTTGCTGAAACGTCCCAAACTGATTTCATCTTCCACTTCTTAACATTTTTACCGCAGCTGCGCCATAGAGCTCCGAATCCTTCATCCGTTATATGAAAGCAATTATTCAGGTCAATGGACAGAGCGCGAGTGCCAATAAAGGGGGCAAGCACTTTGATCAGGACTTCGTCAGTGACCTTGCGGTTGTAAATCGAGAGGTCGACATCTTGGCAAACTTTGGGGGATGTAGTCAAGAGCTTACGCCAGTGTGTGCTAACAAGGCGCAGCCGAAACAGCTCTCCTATATCCAAGTGCTTGAAGATGTAAATCAGGATCTCGTCTGAGAACACTGGTTTGCTCATAGTGATTGGTCGGGTAGGCAGAGTCGTCCGTACTCGCTTTGCCGGGACGTCATCGTCGTCAGCTGAAGCATCAGAAAACGCAAACTTGATAGGAGTTACTTCTGAGAGGCGAGACCTCGCACCGTTGGTCGTTGGCGTAGAGCTATCTGTTGGAGGCATTGGAGGTGCCAACGAATGCCGTCTTCGATTTCGAATATTCTCCATGTTCACACTCAAGAACGGATCGGGATCCTTGGGTGCTATGTTGCTTGTATCATCTTTCGCTGGAGATCCAGGCTTGGACGGGGTAGTAAAGGTGAGGTCAGGGAGGGATGCTCGTGTTGGTGTTGTGGGCGTTGGCGGGTCAGATTTGTTGGCTTTCTCCTTGACATCAACATCAACCATGACAACGTCGTCGCTCTGTTTCTGATATCGCAATCGTGCAGTTTCTTTGACCTGTGTGAGGATATCTGAAGGGCAGCGTCTCCAGAACTCGTCTAGGACATCGCCTGTAATCATGATGCACTCCACAGAAGTGATAGATCTTACAGTGGCTGTTCGACCTCGCGACAATCCAAGACTTGCAACTTCGCCGAAGTATTGGCCTGCCTTCAATCGGGGTCGTTTTGGGATGGCCTTTGCCTTGTTTTGAATGTTATCATCGTAAACTGGCTCATCGTGAATAACCTCTGCCTCGCCACGAACAATGAAGAAGATTTCGTTTCCTGGTAAGCCTTGGCGAACGATATCTGTAAATGGGGTATAGGATTTCGGTTGGACACTTAATCCCAGGAAATGTAGAATATCTGCGGGAAGTGTAGAGAAGAGCGGTAACTCCTTAAGTGTTGTTCGAATATTGATTTGACCGCTTCCAATCGCACTACCAGCAGCTGGGTCCTCCATGATTCCAGGGCTTGGGGACTTTCTTTTCTTGTTGTTGACGACCGCGCCGTCCTTGATAGCGCCCCTTTCTCCAGTAGAGACCTCTCCGGGGGCGGCTTCTCGAGCGCTGAAGTCTCCCTGGGGAGATTTGACCAATCTTCCACTTTCTTGCCGCTTCTTTTTCAGAAGGTTCAAGCGTTCCTGTGCCTCTTCTCGGATCGCCTTTTCCATTTCCGGGAATTTGGGTATCACGGCATGTAAATCCTCTTTCTTCAGCACCAGCAACAGACACTTTGTGCGCGCGACAATAGTAGCTGTTCGAGGCATCTGCATCAAAACACCGATTTCTCCAAAGAACGATCCGGGATTGAGCTCAGCATAGACCGCCTCACCATCACGCGAAGTGACAGCAACTACTCCTCGAACCAACCAATACATTGCCTTGGCTTCGTCTCCTTCCGTCACGATATGGTCATTAGGGCTTTGGATTTGAGGCTTCAGGTGATTTCCTATAGCAACAAGAAACTCTTCCGGAGCTGACATAAAGAGAGGGAAGGACCTGATGCGGTCAACCAGATCTAGCGGCATGTCTCGGATAAGCGATGCTGTGAGCGGCGAAGGCCGCACTGGCCGCGTTGGGTTTGTTTCGACATTGAAAGACCGAATCAGTGAAATCGAGTCTGAAGATGTCGCAGCAGCCGAGGCCTGCTGATGATGAGCCAAAGCCCTATAAGGCGATGGCGAGCTTGGGGAACGACCTCGCCTCATGGTTCCAGTTTTGGCAAAAAGCGGTGTTGCTAGAAGTCAGCGGAATCGCAACGACGAGGACAATTGCCTCCCCTCCAGCAAGCTCCCGAGCCGCCGCCGCAGCTGAGGGTGGCAGTTTCTTGACCTTTGTTCTTTGTTTCTGGCTTTGTATCTCCAAGGTTATGACGTGGAAATGTCAAGTGAAACTTGGAGAGTGGATCAAGGTACAGTCATGCTCCGGTGTGACGTTGAGAAGCAATCCTTGAGGAGAATAAGATTATCGCTTTCGTGCAATCGTTTTGCCGACTGTGGCTTGGAAGATGGACGCACAAAAGGCTCGTGTTGAAGCCCAGGCTCGATCCGTAGGCCCCGTGATAGGTAGAGGGCGTAAAAGCTGCAGTCACAGACTGAATATCAAGGTAGAAGTCGCACAGGGTTCCAAGGCGGCGGTTTGGGTCTTTTTTCGTAACACCAGAACAAGGAGCGAGCTGTTGTGTAGGTGAAGGCGTAGATGCTGAACGTTAAGAATGATCGCGTGGATAGATCGAAGGTGGCTTTCGAGGAGTGTGAGCGATGACGGATGGCGGACAAAGAATGGAGACTCGTGTTGGGACTTACCAAAGCTTGAGCGGAAGCCAAGAAACGAAGGTTATCTGATGCTCTCGGATACAAGATAAATAAGTTAAAGAAGAAGAAAAGCTGGTGGGGAGCTGTCAAGAAGCAACCAGGGAGCTATTGTAGGAGTGGCAATTGGCGAAGCTCGAAGAGGAAATCGGTTGAGGAAGGTCAAGTCAGGTCAAGTCAAAGGAGCATGTACAGTATGTAAGGTAGGAGATAGATAGATCCGCATGGGAAAAGATGGATTCCAGTGCCAGTTCTGGCCGCCACATGAACGACGCCCACTCAAGACCACGACCACGACACAGAAGGCCCCTCTTGCATTCGACACGCCCACTCACACGCACAAGGAAAGCTTGGTGTGGGGTAGTTAGGCAAAGTACCTCCAGGGCAGCGCTGTAGGTACTATCCTGAGTTAGCTGGGCGGGCGGGCAGTGCCGTCACACACGGTAAAGGAGCGTGTAAGAAGCGAGCAAAGGGACAAGGGCCCCTGTGATAGTGAAGCTTTGAGTGGAGAAGTATGAGCAAGCCAAAAGCAAGCAAGCAAGCATCGGTAATGCAAGCAATTCAACGGGAAAGGAACGGTTTCGAGAGTCAAAATTTGGGTTAATCACCGAACGGCACAGAAATTGACTCTCGCGATGATGCGACTGCTGATAAACTGAGATGCCCTGGGCTGCCCGCGTGGTGGTGCCGGTACCTTGGCACAAGCGCATGTAGCTAAGATGGTCGCAGTACCAGTTACGTCCGTAGCTTAGCAACTTATTGCCCTGTACCTAAAGTTAGTGGCGTCTTAGGGCAGTGGGCATCCCATCACAAAGTGAAACGGAGCCAGCCCCGGAGCTGCTGTTGGGAAGAAACCTGAGGGTCAGTGCGTTGAGGCGCTTCGGTGGATGCTTCGATAAAGCTTCAGTGGGATGCGATGTGCTGTTTGCTGCTTGTCATGGACCTTGACCAAACCCTTTCAAGGACCCCGGTAATGGTCTTCTCATCCTCACTAGCGAGCGGCACCAAGCGCAGATGACCGAGCGCGCACAGGGCGCTTAACGGTTCACTGGTATCTTTCTTTGATGTTTGGCAGGGGTGGAATAATCTGACAAAAAACAACCTGCGTGAGAGCTGATGCAGCGGAAGCGACCCGATAGCTTGCTTCTGTTGATTCCATAGAGGAACCCATGCATGGCCAATAATTAAAAATGCCCCATCAGTTTGACGAAGCCGTGGTTGACGGTGAGCCATGGTCTTTTAGGGTTAGTAGCGGTCGTCTTCTGCCGTCATCATTTCCCCCCTCTGCTACGTATATGTCGATCCTGATCGTCGGATCCGTGCAGCCAGCCTCCAGCCTGCCGGGAAAGGGGCCAGCCATGTTATGCCATCGGTCAGAAGACCATCATTTTGGTGATATATCCGACCGATATGGTTGTCATTTGCCTCGGCAAGCTGCGAGGAAAAATGGCCGTGGGAGGTCATTTTGAGAAGTTTGATACACGTCGTGATACCATCAGTACTCTCATTCTGATGAGTGTTTTCTCAAGAGCCTCCCTTTTGCATTGACCTCTTGTCATGCAGATGGATGCTGCGACAGTTAGCGTTGGCCGTGGCTGAAAATAGATACATGGCTTGATAATTTGCAGCTTCATTCAGGCACGTTCGCATCGCCATGCCAATGCCAATGCCAGATGCGGCAGCTTGTCGGAGGAGGATCCTTGCAAAATGCAATAGATAGAAAGCTCTGCGGAATCATTTCGTGAAACGTTTCGTCATGGTGTTTCATGTCTGCGGGCTGTTAGCTGGCTGTCAGTACCCATCTCCTATCTGATCAGTCTGCAGAAAACATGCAGCGATTGTTGTGGGAAAACTGCAGCCTTGTGAGGCGAGCTGCATCAATTGCTTCTTCTGTCGTCTGAGGATTGCTGAATCACAAGCAAATATTGTACGTATGTAATTCTTTTCAGTGTCGTTCGTCCGAGACAGGGTCTCTAAAAGTTTTGAGGCCACCCACAGGGTTCTTAGCTGTGATCTTTCTAGAAGGTAGCACTGACCCAGGGACAGCGGTCAGGCAACGCAATGACCACCTTGCCCTGGTCATGGAAACTCGCTAGAAGAAGGAGAAGAAGGAATGAATTGTTGTAGGCCAGGTCGTATTTTGAGGTCATTAAACCAAATGCAGGTCCTACCTTAAATTTACTCTGGAAAAAAGCAGCCTCCTGAGATCGTTCACGGCAGCTACCTGGGTCCTTCTTCCTTTTCCATTAACCGCATATGCCCCAATTGGTTGACAGATGCCCTGGGGAAATGATTTGGAAGAGCCACAGTTTTAATCAAAACACTGTAGGATGTCCATTTCGGCTGTTTCAGATGCACTACGGAGTAGGCTGCTCCGAATCGGGCAGGCTTACTGCAGAGGCGATCTAGACAGTTGCAGCATGCTCAGCAACTCGCCCGCTCTTGCAGTCTACACCTTTCAAGGACTCGCGAGGAAAGAAAACTCGGGGCCTCGATCCTTACCTACCTACCTTACCTAATGATACAGATATTTAGGTATCTTAGCCCAAGTTTAATGTAATGGAATCTTTACTACCTCAAGTGTCCCGATTTCAGTACCCTCTTTGTCGCTCCCCGAGGAGATGCACTTGGACAAAATGAAGGATTCGAAGAAAAAAGCACATATCTACATCAAGCCAGAATGCGAACTTTGCGATCAAACTATTCACGCCGACGAGTGGACCGTAGCCTGTGGGAAACCTGCTCCATATGCTTCTTCCATTATGCCGATCTAACGTCAACTAGTGCTTGGGAACGAGGATGGCCTCAGCCCGTCATATTTGACCAACAAGTTCCGATTTCCAGAGTCTCAGGATGTCGTTGAAACAGCAGACGAGCTAATACTGTGCCAACGTCTCAAATGCAAGACGTGCGAAATGGCTCATCCATCTGTGACAGTACATGCGAACTGTTACCGTGTTTTTCAGCAGTCTTATCGTCGAGAAGATGCCATGGACGCTATATGGGTCGCTTCAGCATGGAAGTCCCCTTGGCGATACCGACCTCCTCAGCGCAAGCCTCGACTTGATCTCACTGACATGACGTTGGTGTCAATAGGGGGGCCAGTTGCCGAGGCCATTGGTATCTCAGGTCTGGCGCTTTTGCCGTCAGAAGTGCTCCAAATGGTCAGGCCTTATATCCCTGATAATCTCCTCTGGCGATATTCTCTTATCCAAAACATTGCTGAAGAGATGTTGCGGCCCTTCCAAAATCCCTTCGAGCCTCAACACGATGCTACTCGCTTCGCTCTGGCGGCAGTGAAAGCTTGGAAACGCGATTCGAAAGGGATGGATACTACTTGTGATGAGAGCAAATCAGAGTCGTTTATCGTCAGACTTACAGTTGACTGTCTTGGCTTGAAAGAGATCCAAAGATTACATGATTGGCCAGAGTATGACCACACGCGGTCCAACACTTACACATACGTTTTCTTCACGCAAGGACAAGCGGGTAGATCTTTCATTTATTCAAAGGTTGGTTATATCTCGACCCCGTGGGACAGTTTATTAATATTAAGCAAGTTTGGACGAGTTTTCATTGATAATCCTAATGACTCTCAAGACTTACCATTTTGGGACACGCCTAGCCCTCCCTTGAGAGGATTGAAAATGTTTCCGCGGCCGGATCGTCCAGGTTCCATCCGATACCGCACTGTCGATCTCCTCAATACCACAGGACTTACCTTCTTCTTTCTGAGAGGCTACATAGTGGCAGTTCACTCCCACAAAGCGAACGCACCAGTTGCAGAACCGACCATACAACATTTCTCTCAATATGAACGAGACCAGATGATATGGACGCACATCCCTATATCTAGTACTGATAGCCTGCTCCGGATCGGCGTGGGGGATACTTGGCAAAGACAAATAGAGGTAAGTTTGCGCATCATCTAATCTTTTTACAGTATTTCTCACATCAGTAGATATGCACCAAACTCACAGGGACCTACCTCTTTGGTCCTTACCAATGTTATACGGACACTCGCGATGTATCGGGCAATGAGCCATCTGTGCTTGTTCATGATGTACCGATTGAGGGAGTAGGCGGTTCACTTGGTATAGTCGCCGAGCATAGCTTTGAGAGGAAACCCTTATTGTCGTTTCCTCGCTACCACAACGACGACATGGATCCCCTGGGTCTGGGACTGTATCAACACTGTAGCTCCAACGAAGAATGTCACCTGTGCTAATGTCTATTATGATCGCAGGAATGGGTACTGTAAAGGATTGCTCCTGAAGTATGCTAACGGTGCGCAGCGGGCGGTAGGGCAATGCCGGGTTGGTATTGACCCTTTTAAAGCTTACGAAGAGCCCTCCTGGTTTTGTTGCCGCGACATCTATGATTCAGAATCAGGATCACTGGTAGATACCGGAAGTTGTGTTGTTGAGTGTACGACTGTCACGAATAACCACAGGCATGATGAACCTGGCGACATTGATAATTGGCAGTGTATGCGCGCAGGAGCAGGAGTGTATCTTGAGTTCCGGTGTGACAACAAGACAGACACTTTTGGTATGTACATTCGACGTGATGAGAAAGAGGACGACGACTAAGAACTCTTTATTTTCTTTCTCGCCTCACGATGAGAAGCATTTGTGGTTTCTGGCCTGATGTATGTAATTATGCTATGGAGGTATTTACAAGTCGCATTGCCAGCCACATCACAGCCCTTCACTCCATGAAGTCAACAACGTATCTGCTCCACTGGTTGATTAGGAAGAAGACGTTCCACATTTTGATGAAACGCACTTACGTATCTGATTAGAATTTGGCCTTTGCTGTCAGGCCATTCACCGATACTTATACATGATTTCTGTGCGGTCATTCTAATCAGTCGAGCGTAGCATGGTTATGATTGGTATCTCTAGTTGTCACTGTCTACGGACGCCCGGTGAACCCTTGGAAGCAGTGGAGCTCCAGAACGGTCTTAAGCTTCCCTTCTATTTAGAGTTATAACATAAAAGATAATCACTATACCCTAAGTCTTAACTTCTATACCCATGGTTCTCTTGTAAGTCGTCCTACCAGCCACAGCACAGCCACATTCGCTCCCACGGCAACCTAAGTTCTCCTTTAAACTGTTCGTTTAATTAAAGCCAAATACTAGCTAGCATTCGCTTTGAGCGGTTGTTTTCTTTCTCACATATTCATCTCTCTTCTACACTCCCAGTGACCCTAATTCTTACCGTGAGCCATCATGTTCATGGACGAGGATTTCAGTATAAGTGATATGGAGGAGGCCATGGAGGAGGAAGATGAGGGCGAAGTACCATACAACAGATTGAAACATATCTATCTTAAACCAGATTGCGGCCTTTGCAATCAACCAATGGATCCAGATCAATGGGCTCTAGCATGTAAAATTGAACAGCTTGCCTCAACACTACCCTCTACTGCACGTACTGAACTAACAATCCCTCGCAGTAGTTGGTAATCCTACAGGGACCAAACCAGTGAAGTGCACTAAAAAGTTCCAATATCCCAGAACCCGCGAAACTGTTCGTGTTAGGGGAATACTACCATTATGCCAACGTAATGAGTGTAGGAGGTGCACCAAGTCCCCTCCTTCTGTAACAATACATGCCAATTGCTATCGCATGTTTATGAAGGAATACCAACAAGAGAGTGCATTGGAGCGCATATGGGTTGCATCATGCTGGAAGTTTCCATGGCTACATGACCCTGTTCAACTTACACCACGGCTCAGTCTCGATGACACTACCAAGGCATCAGTGAGGGCTTCTACCGCAAGAGCTTTTGGGATACCAGAACTGGCAACTCTGCCGCCAGAGGTCTTACAAATGATCAAGTCATTTGCGCCGCATCACTCGTTGTGGAAGTTCAGCTCCATCCAAAATGTTGCAGAAAGTATGTCTTCGTCTGGAACTGATATCGAGAGTTACCCGTTGGCCAGCATCAAGTCATGGCAACGTGGACAACCAGTTGTTTGTGATAAAGACGACTTGAAGAATTTCGTTCTCAGACTAACTGTTGATCGTGATGGCCTTAAGCAAATTGAGAAACTGGAGAGCTGGCCTGAGTATAGTCAGGTTCGGTCTAATGCTTTTGCTTATCTCTTCGTCGTGCCCTTCCGAGCAACAAAAGCACATGTTGATTTCAAGGTATGTTCAAAAGTCTCCTCTCCTCTAGGTGTGAGTGTCACTAATGCTCAGGTTAGCTTGGGCGAGCCTTCTTGAAAAAGGAGATAGGATTCGGATACGGGGAGTTTTGGGACACGCCGAACCCTCCAGAGAAGGGACTGAGCATGTTTGCTACACCACTCCTCCGCTTTAGTTCCACCCGTTTCCGAACGGTAGACCTTTGTAACATCACCGGTCTGACATTCTTCTACTTCAGAGGTTATATAATGGGGGTTCACGCTCACACAGCCGACTCCCCAGCAGCAACATCCACTTTCAATGAGATTTCAGCAATAGATCCGAAGTACTTGATGTGGGCGTATGTACCAATTTCAAGAAAAGACAGTCTTATGAGGATTGGTGTACGCGACACTCTGACGATATACGTGCCCCCGACGTTTTTGAAACCGACAGTGCTGGTAAGTCTCTGGCTAAAGCATCCTCTTTGTTCCCAAAGCTCACGTCAACAGATATCAACTAAGCTCGCCGGCGAATTCGCGCTAGGCCCTGATTATGGATATGCCGAGGAGGTATTCTTATCAGAAAAGGAGCCGACCGTGTTTGTGTACAATGTCCCGCATAAACGAGGGTACGGTATGTACGGAGCAGTGAGTGACCAGGAAGGTGACGAACCTTCAGCACCATTCCCTCGACTTTTTCCCAGCGAAGAGGGTCCCCCATACCGTGGCCGCATTCATTTCGAGGCTCCCGCAAAGGGCATCGTTCACGTCGATGTCTATTATAATGAGGCCAACGGGTACTGTAAAGGACTCCTCCTCGAATATGCCAATGGTGCTCAGCGGGCATTGGGCCAATGCCGTGTCGGGGTCGACCGTTTCAAGGCGTACGAAAAGTCGACCTGGATCTGTTACCGCAATATTTGTGGCCCAAAAACCTACCGCCATTTAGGAAGTTGCATAGTTGAGTGAGTGTACAACTGGCACGAATAGCCACGAGCATGGATCTAACGACTTCGATGATTGGGTGTGTATGCCAACAACAAAAGGATACCTCCGGTTCGGGTGCGATCACAAGATAGCCAGCTTGGACATGTATACTCTACGAAGCGAGGAAGAGGAGGATGAGTAATAGCGTTGGCTTTCTTCTTGTCTTTGGAATAGCAGAGCCTTGTAACCTATCACATTCTCAAAGGCTCCTCTGAGACATTCTGCAATGATACATGTACTAGCCACGCCACAGCCACAGTCGGGCATAGGTGCAGCAACGTTGCTTCTGCTGTGTGACTACCTTGTTCTTCCATCATCACATTTGCACACCGCATTTTGTTCTCTTTTCAATCAAATCTCAACAAGGAACGCGAGATGTCAGACGTTGATGGCTCAAACGATTCGCAATCGGAGATGGAATCGATGATCGTCGAGTCTGATGAAGATACATCAGATTGGGACGCAGTACATGTCGCTATCAGATCAACCTGTGGTCTTTGTTATCAGGTCATATCCCCGAACCAATGGGCTACAGCATGTAAGGCTCTCGCACCTCAAATCCCTTCCTGTCGAGGCCAGTCTTTTGTGTTATTGACATCTCTGCTACAGTGCTCAATGGACATGGTGACCGCCATGGTACTTGTCCTAGTTATTGCACAAAGAGATTCCGATTCCCTCTAGGACTAGGAGACCTCGTACAGGGTGATTCATTCCCCTTGTGCAATCAAGACCGTTGTCGAGACTGCAAGGGGTCACCTGAGTCAGTCACAATGCATTCAGAGTGTTATTGGTTATTCCTGCAGACATATCACGACAAGCCCGCGCTTGAACGCGTCTGGGTTGCAGCAGCCTGGAGAATTCCGTGGGTCGTACGCTCTTCTCAATCCATGCCACACATCGGTTATATCGAACCAGGGCTGGTATCAATAAGCTCTTCCGCTGCAGAAGGCTTGGGTATACCGCAACTGGCAACCTTGCCATCTGAGGTTCTTCAGCTTATAGCTGTTTATTCACGCGGGAGTCTTGTGTGGAAATATACGATTATCGAAGCCAGAGCGGAGGAATTATCAAGGTGTGATGAGAGCTCATCCAAGGACGATGACATGCTTTACAATCTCGGTACTTTCAAAAAATGGCATCGAGGGCAGGATGCAGAGTTCGATGAGGATCCGCCCGAGTCTTTTGTGTTCCGGCTCACCGTCGATTCCCATGGGCTACTCGACATAGAGAGACTGCCCAACTGGCCCGAGTATAAGAGCTGTCGATACGGACCTTACAAGTACTTCTTTCTTGATTCTGATGAAGCGGAACATACTTGGTTATATTTCAGAGTAAGTCCTCAATCTTGCATCGCTTCCTGTCTTGTAGCGCTACTGACATCAGGGAATCAGCTTGGCCATGCGCGGATGAAACTGAGTCCCTCATTGTCAAGACCTATTCAAATTTGGGACATCCCAAGTCCACCAAATCCGACCACCAAAGGCCTTGAGCTTCTCTTGGTACCACGTGGTACAGATGCTACTTGCATTCGCACCCTCGATCTACGCAATATCACTGGCATTACCTTCTTTTACTACAGGGGCACTTTGATGGGACTCCATGCTCACACCCCTGAAGACCCGATAGCGTTGACTACTGTTAAGGACATCCTTTCAGATTACGAGCCCAATTTAGTCTGGATATACATGCCCATAGCACATGGCGATCGTATCGTGAGGTTTGGCCTGCGGACTTGGAGAAACGACCGCGAGGAACCGGCAAGCCATCACATGTGCTTATTGGTTAGTTCCCGTTCATGATGTGACTTCTCGATGCTAACCGGGTGCCTAGATGACCACGAAGCTTGCTGGCGACTTCTCTCTTGGTCCAAATTTCCATGATGAAGATATGAATTACTTCTTTCGAGGAACGCCCACTGTTCTTTTCCACAACACGCCAGCAAAGGGTGGGATTACACTGTTAGGCTTAGCAGGTGACAAAAATCAGGAGAAGCTACGCGCTCCTAGATTCCCCATCATCTCCCTCTCGATAGATCAGTTGATTAACGGAGGTGACGCTATTACAGTGGACATTCCGCTGAAGGACGCTGTCAGAATTGACATTTTCACTGAAAGGGCCACTGGATACATGAGAGGTTTTATTCTTGAGTATGAGAACGGCGCAAAGAGGTCCGCAGGGCAATGCAGAGTAGGAGTTGACCCGGTCATGGTATGTCACAGACCCGTGTCATTCTGCTACCGCACGCTTTATGGGGACCACCTTGATCATAACAAACACTATGAACTTGTTTGTTGCTCGGAGATGGATATTCCGCATTATGGTCATGGATATGAGCACACTCCGTGGACTTGTTCAGATCTCGGACTGTACGCTAAGGTTTGGTGTGACGATGTAACATCCGACCTGTATGCCTACACTCCCAGGACTCGGGAGTTTATAGCGGTAGAGGAGGATTAGGCTCAACACTGGTGGACTCATTTCTCTATCATCACGATCAATGCTATTCTTATCTTTTGACGAAATATCTCGGGGGCACTACTATTCTTGAATAATCATGTGAAATATCATCACATGGTACCGTCAGCCCAGATACTATGTAGCTCAAGAATAATTCGGCCCAGTGGGCATAGGAGGTGTCAACTGTCTGGCCGCATTGCAGCAAGTATTTAATCCGCAGTTGGCCAAATGACTCGCAGTTTTCTTCTTAGACTAGAGGAAATAGGACATGGATGGATCATGATCATCAACTTCTATGAATTTACATATAGGACATAGCTATAGTCTGATAGCCGGTTGAAAGAGGATAGAGGGTTGAGTACAGCCGCCGTGAGTCTATAATACTACTACCTTGAGATTAAGGCGCTTGCGTCACGTCTTTTAACTAAATATCCAAAAAGCAATTCTTTATTGAATTAAGATGTGAGATGACAACAATGATAGCACGGCCACAGCTCAGGGGTTTTACAGGAAGACCCCTGTAGTTTAGCATTAATTACCGGGTATATGCCACGTTATATCATCATTGTTTACATCCCAAACTTTCTTTCATCTTTAGCCCCTTTCTGAGAATACAAATTTCGTAAAGTATTTGCTACGAAATAGAATAATCACTCTTTTTTTCCCCTACCTTTCTTTGTCGTATATTCTTGAATCTCGGAACCGTCGCGACATGTCTGATCACAGCTTACCAGATGCAACTCAGGCAACCCGTGATTCGATCTATGATCCCAATCATGATTGGGATATTTGGATGGATAATCAGGATACAGATTACGATGGGCACATCCGTCTACAGGACAAATGCGACCTTTGCCTTTTCGATATGGCACCAGGTGACCTGTCCATTGCCTGTAAGTGTAGTGAGAGATATGGGCTGCTATTGCCACGCTGATACATCAACACACTTATAGTAACATGCGAAACACATCTTCGCCCTTCATATTGCACCAAGTTATTCAAATTTCCCGCCGACAGTGAGACGTTTGAACTTGAAGGAAAGGATTTGTTTCTATGCCGGGAGGCTGATTGCAATCTGGCAGATTGGGTTGTGACGATGCATGCTTCGTGTTACCAAGTCTTCTTTCAGCATTACACTCATGATAACCCCCTCAACGGTGTGTGGATCGCCGCAGAATGGAAACGCTACTTCTTTCCAAGCGTTGGCTTCAAGTTGGAAGACGAGAGCCTCGTATCAGTGAGCCCATCGATTGCCGAATCGTTGGGAATGCCGCAGCTGGCTCGGCTGCCCCCAACCCTTGTCCAAGATATCAGGTCCATGTCTCCTGACAGTGAAGTCTGGGCTTACTTGGCTATCAAAGATCTTGCAGAGAGGATTTCATCTGCAGCTGGCCAACATGACCTGTCTTGTATGCTTGACAAAGTCGAGTCTTGGACTAGGGGCGAGGGTGCACCTGTGCTGAGCGACAGCTTTGCTGGGGTTTGGTGTATGCGGGTCACGATGGATCGCCGCGGTATACGCAACATTGAAAGAATCGCTGGTATGCCTTCTTACGAAACTTGGCGGAGTGAAAGCCTTGCCTTTGCTCTGATACCCTCAGATCAAGCAATGAAAAGTGTGTGTGATTTCAGGGTATGTGGCACTGACTCTTGTCATAATCACTCAAAACGCTGACCGTTTATATAGCTTGGGGCGGCTCGTCTTAGTCTTTGGGGTGGCAGGTCAGTCATGTGGGATACACCGGGTCCTCCTCCAGCAGGTAGGATGCAATTCTTCACCGCGAGTGGTAAATCGCTGCCATGCAATGTGCGTCTGCGCACACTGGACTTGCGCGGCACCAGGGGCCTCACCTTCTTCTACATTGGGTCTTCTCTACGGGCTGTTCATTCTCACACGTCCCGCTTCCCAACTGCGTTGACGACATACGCGCGTTTGTCCGAACACGACCGAAGGGATGTGGTTTGGGCACATGTCCCTATCGCACCCAATGATCGGATTATCGGATTAGGTATCCGAGCAAGTAGCATGGAAGATGATTTAACTTCACCCTCTGTTCTGGTAAGTCTCGTCTTCGCGAGGTGCAGATCATAATAGCTGACCAAACAAGATTCGTACTGAACTTGCCGGTGATATTGTCATCGGCCCTCAGCCCAGGCCTGTTTCCCCTGACTTGCCTCTCGTCCTCATTAAGGATTACACCTGTGGCGTTATACCAGAGTCTCTAATATATGGTTTGCCTCCTACTGACGGTGAACACATCCTTGTCGCGGTGGCAGCAAGGTCACTTGAACCTAACGCAGAATCCACACGTCGATTCCCTGGCGCAACATCATCAACAATAATGCACAGGTGCAGCTGCGCTCTTCTCCGAACCCAGATACCTCTCCAAGGAACCACCCGGATTGATGTATTCACTTGCAAAGCCACTGGTCTATGCAGAGGAATGCTATTTGGGTACGAGGATGGGGCCCAGAGGGCTGTTGGTCAATGCCGCTTGGGAATTGACAATGTAACAACCTACATCAATCCCACGAGGATTTGTTACAGCGATACGATGCGGGCTCATTGCTGTGCCGGTGATGATAATTGTTCCAACGAAGATAAAATGGACGAAGAAATTGAATATTGCGAGGAGATAGAATGTACAGCACATCAAAGTTCCAGGGTTGAATGCTCCAGCGGCACAGACGAGCATCATCACAACGACAGTGGTGAGCATATGGTCTGCGCACCCATCAAAGGATACCTCGATTGCCACTGGGATGACCGCTGGCTTCGACTGGATATACAAGAGCATGCCCCTGAAGCGATTGCGGCAATAATGCACGTGGATATGAACGGCAGAAATCCCCTCGAATTCACGGTATAATGCATCACAGCACATTCACAATCTCGGCAATACGGCTTCAGACAAATCAGCTCAGCTGTGCTCTTCGGTCCATTTCTATATTGCATGTCCCATGTACATAACATAATTCCAGTCTACGTCGTTTCGTTTCGTTCAAATTCGCTAAATCTGTGACCCAAATAACAACATCCGCCTTTTACAGAACTAAACATCACATTTTGTGAACCCAACGCCGAATGTTACACGACCCAGATATGCATGCCTTTCTCGTCAACTCGCTCTAAGTTCGCAGGAATGTCTTGAACACTTGCGAGTTGGTGCAGTCTTCATAGGGGTATCCGATCTTGCGCAAAAATGACTCCAGCTCAGGAACCTCGTCGTCAGGACACAGGATGCCAGTTACAATCTTGCCCACATCACCGCCGTAGTTACGGTACTGGAACAGGCTGATGTTGAACTTGGGTCGAAGTGTCACGAGGAACTTCTCGAGAGCTCCAGGTCTCTCGGGGAATGTGAACATGTATAGTCGCTCGTTGGGAACGCCTGATCGACCACCGACGAGGTATCGAATGTGACTCTTTGCGAGTTCATCTTGTGATAGATCGGTCACGTTCATGTTGTTGGATTGGATGCGGTCCATGAGAGAGCGGAGTTCCTCTGATCGCTGGTGGGCGGGAGCGGTCAGAGACACACCGATGAGGATGTTGGCGACCTCGTCTGTCGAGTATCGGTAGGTGAACTCGGTAACGGCATGGGGCATGATGTTGTTGATGAGCTCGGAGAATGCTCCAGGCTGTTCGGGAATCTGCACAGCAAGCAAAGCCTCCTTACCCTCACCCATGGTGGCACGCTCAGCGACAAATCTCAGACGGTCAAAGTTCATGTTGGCGCCTGATGTAACAGCAATGAGGTTGCGCTTCGAGTCGTTTGAGGGGTTCTGGGAGACGTATTTCTTGAGACCGGCGATGGAGAGGGCTCCAGCGGGCTCGAGGCCGGATCGGGTATCGTCGTACATGTCCTTGATAGCGGCGCAGATCTCGTCGGTCGTGACTTCAACAACATCGTCGATAACCTCCTTGCAGATGCGGAATGTCTCTTCTCCAGGAATCTTGACGGCAGCACCATCTGCGAACAGGCCGACCTCCTTAAGCAATACCCTCTCTCCCGCCTTCAACGACTGCGCCATGGCATTGGCGTCGTGGGCCTCAACGCCAATGATCTTGACGTGAGGAGCCATGCGCTTGACATACAGACCAATTCCAGAAATGAGACCACCGCCGCCGACCCCGCAGAAGATAGCCTCCACCTTGGCCATGTTGACCTGGCCAAACAATTCGTTTCCAATTGTTCCCTGGCCAGCGATGACATACGGATCGTCGAAGGGAGGGATATTGATAAGACCATCTTGCAACTCTCTTCTCGCGCACTCCTCCTTGGCCGCATCGAAATCAGCGCCATGCAGCACAACATGGCCGCCCAAACGAGCAACATTCAAGTGCTTGATACTAGGAGTCGCTTCGGGCATGACAATGGTCGCAGGGATCTTGAGCTTGCGTGCCGAAAAAGCGACACCCTGGGCATGGTTACCGGCTGAACAGCACACAACACCCTTCCAGCTCTTCTTTGGGTCGAGATGGGCCATCTTGTTGTAAGCGCCGCGCAGCTTGAAGCTAAATACGGGCTGCTCGTCTTCACGCTTGAGGAGGACATTGCATTCGAGTCGGTTGCTGAGGTTGATGGCGTGTGTAAGGGGGGTGACCTTGCAGGCCTCGTAGACTCGGGATGTGGCGCTGGCGATAAGACGAAGGTACTGAGACAGTCAGCTTCGCAATTGGTATTAGTTGAGGGGTGTGTTATACTCACATCTGGGTATCCTGTAGGGAGGAGATACTCGTCAGGCACAATCTCCTTAATGCGCGCCCGCTTCTCCTCCGACGGTGTAGACGGATTGGCGCTGTACTCTGTCAAGGCCATTCCGGTCATCGGCGTATGCGGCCGAGAGTGAGAGTCGCCGTTTGTGCCATTGGTAGTGCCATTCACGGCGCCGTTGACAGGCACCGCAACGATGGGATCTTGAGCTGAAGGCATCGTGAGGGAATGTGTGAAGAGTTTATGTGAAAAAAGGGAAACAAAGGTTGGAGCGAGGAAAAGGTAAATATTATTTAGTCCTTCTCGCTCTAGTCACCGCCGAACGACCGGACCTGAATTTTTGTTGGACACCAGCTGTGAGTCAATTGGCACAGGTGTGACGTCGAATTGTGGGGTGCTCACAGCGAGATAAGAAGTATACAGCGGGTGCGGATGTTGCTTGGGCGGACTCACCGAGCCCACTGAAGGCCGATCTACCGCCGATTGTCGTGCCATGTTGTACAGTGAAATTGCTCAGAATCGAGCAGGTAAAATGGAAAATGGCCTGATTGATTGGAATTAGAGACATTAGATATAGAAGAGTCACTTGTAAAGACCCTGAAATACTGCGTACAATTTAGTGAATGTTTATCCCCAATGGAGGGGCTAGAATACAGCCCGTGGGGGGTTCGACATCGGAGGTTGTACCTGATGGACCACCAACCACAGCTCTTGTATTTGTCTATTTCAGGGCGTGCCCTGCGTATAAGTGAAAGGCGAAAAGTCATTTATTTATCGTATTCTCGAATTTGGATATCGCTCTAATCATAATATTCATATACCAACTCCAACTCCAAAGCATCCCCTCCCATACTATTACTTCCTCACCACATCGTCGTATGCAGGCGGTGCGTCCTTTTCAACATGATGTTGATTCACGGCATCCATCTCGTAGACACCATTGTTGGGCTCCTCATGAAAGTCCCGTGTTTCACGAACATTCTGACTTGAGCTGCTACCAATCATGCCAACCCTCTGTGCTCCTGACTTGACCATCGCAACACCCGCTTGTCGTCTCTCAGCTCGTTGGTAATCTCTTTCAGCTCGCTGTTCGGCTCGGAGTTGCATACGCTCAGCACGTTGCATCTTTTTCTGATATCGACGCTCTGTCTTGCGTTGGTGGCATGAAGATCGACCACTGTTCATAAGCATGTAATCGGGGTTGGGACCCATGAGTTGAGGTTGTTGCACGAGATAGGCTTGTTGCTTTCGACTTCCACAGCACCCGCTTGAGCGAGGCTGTTGTTTTGAGGAGTCTGTAGCGCTCATGATAGCGCAGATTGCAAGACCAATGAGACCCATGATGAGTGTAATTGCAGATGAAGAGTATTGTGTAATTAAGTGTATCGTTTGATTGTAAAGTCTGTGATATAGGGTAGTTGTCTTGAATGTATTGGATGTGATGTCTGTTTGATGACCAGAATACTCCTTCTCCTACGACGAACCATGGCTTCTTATAACTTTCAAGATATTGCTCCCTCTCAATTGAAGCCATTCCCTAATTGTAGATTCATTCGAAATTCCACGGCGCAGCTTCGAATGCGAATGCGCAGCCACCGCTGACGTACTAACACATCGAATGAATCTCCAAACAGGGCTTAGCGTCACTGTCGTGATGGTTGTCACAACCAATCTAGCGTCGCCTATCTCCTACGTTGTATTCGCACTCGCTTCTGGGAAACCGATTTGCCGTTTTCCTCAATCGGAATGCGACCAAGCTAACTTCACGTGTTATTACTTTGCTCGTGTATCAGACATGGGATCATCTTGATGGACAAGATTTCAGATCGGAAAAGGGCACTACTCGCTTACAAACGCAAATGCGTTCATATCATCATCATTCTATCGCAGTCTATGCTGTCTACTCTATAAACGCATTTTATCAGTCATAAACATGAAATCATCATCGTTCAAATGATCGGGAAAGCTCCCAATATGCTCTAAGCAGTGCAATTCCTCCAACTTGTGTCTCGACAGTCCGGCCCCGGCCCCGTCCATTGGGATCCTGCCCTTTCATCTTCACCTCTCGAGGTGAATGTTTTCCGCCGCGAGGTACAAGGTCATCCCCAACACTGTCCATAACATGCTGGTCAGACTTCGGCCCTGAAGGTGACCAGTGTCCTGTACCTGGAGTCCATCGGTGAAGCCCACCCCAAGTCTCGTCATCAGGCGTTCCTTGGTTGCGGTAGTCGGTTGCGTTCTCTGCGCCGTGGTCGATACCGTCGGTATCCAGTGTCGGGAGAGCACCATAGATGCCAGCTCCCCACCACATGCCAAAGAGGCCATCGTCATTGCGAGTCTTCAGAGCTGCATGGGCGTTCTGTTTGACCCAGCCCAAGTACGACTGACATGCATCTGCATGGATGCCTTTGACACGTCGGTATCCACGGGGGTCGATTGTTCTGCCCTGTTTGGCGACTAGAGGTTCAAGAGGACTGCAAAATGACGTGAAGTGATGGAAGAAGATACCTTTGAAAGTCTGGCCGTCCTGGGAGCAGGTGCTACTAGCATCGCACTGCTCTTCCAGTATCCCTCCGCGGCCGAGTCCATACCACGGAGGCAACTGGCCGGGACCCAAGTGTTTCAGATCATCGACGGGCTTATTCTCTTTCAGGTTCCATCCTGTAGCTCTGATGACGGACTGGATCAGACGATGCCCATCTTCCAGATACGATGCACTTCCACTGACAGACCAGAGACCACGTTGGCCTGTTAGCAAGACACCTTGGTTGTACGTGTACACCATCTCGTCTCGAAGATCGCACTTCGTGTTACCGGGCTTGGTGCTATCGATGTGATATCCGTCTACATATAGACCCAGGGAGTTGGTCATGTTGACGTCGATGAGCCACTTGTACCCTCGCATGGCGGCCTCCAGATGTGCAGGATCGTTATCCGGGAATGCAGCACTGTTCAGCCATGGCGCAGTGAAGTTGTCACCAGGAAAGTGTTCGTACATCGAGATCGAGGCGGCCACCCAGAGTTCGTTCGTGATGGCGTTTTTGTACGGGTTCAAGCGAGGGTTCCAGACCATGCCTCCATTACAGAACTTTGTCTCCCACCCGTGAGTTGCCAGGTTCCAGAAGATGCGAGAGCGGTGCGCAAAAGATGAGAACCAGTTGTAGCCCTGCCATGGCATAGATTCGATGACTTCCCTCAGATTACTTTTCTCAGAAACCCTCTCGGATTTTATCTTGGGATAGTGAAGATCAGCATGAGTTCGCACGAATTTGATGGCCTCAATCCAACCAAGAGCGACCCATAATATGTCGTCGTAAGCCTGCATCAAATGTTAATAAGATAAAAAGCTTCGTTCCTCAGAGGAGTCGACTTACCTGGCCTCTGATTGACAGCACATCTTGCCCAAAGTACGAACCCACAAGTTGCGCATAGAAAGTCGCGATGATGTTCTCTTTCACCCTCCAATCATCAATACCAGCAAGATCCACGGAATCGATGGCCTTGGACAAAGTGGTGAGCATTCCAGCCACGACTGTTCCTGCAACAGCGGCAGTCCAATCAATGGCAGATGGCCATGTTGCGTAATCCGGTTCAAAGAAGTGGTCTTGAAGAGCTGAAAGACCACTGAGAGCGTCCTCGAGAATATGAGTGTCTGCGGGAGGCGAATCAGAAGGCTTGGAGGAGAAGGTCAAAAATGTATCAGGAAGAGGACGGCAGTTGGTTGGTGGTTCGTTATAGAGAATGGGGCAGTACTCTTTGTGAGCGCTCTCACGGCTGGGTGCAGCTGATATGGGCTGGATGAAGGTGAGCAAGCTGATGATACCAGCGATGATTTTGAGCCAGGCCATGGCAGCTACAATAGGCGATTTTAAGCACCTAGAAGCAAGATTTTGAGTTCTTTTTTTTTTTTTTGGCGGTAGATGTGAAAAAATAGTCCTTTGGTGAAGCCTCGTAATGCTCATGAAATAGAGTTGCACATCTCATGAATTGTGGCTATGCGATTTCGGAGTAGATCAAGGAACGAGATAAGCTAAGTATGTTCAGAAAGGCCAATGCAGTCTCACGAGGAGAAGGAAGAACCGAGTAAATATGTGTAGGGAGAAAAGAAAGAAGGAATAAAGAAAAAAGACGCAGGAACTCGAGACGATGTCAAGAATCAAAGTTATCTCTACATATCAGACAGTGACTGACACTGACGGTGCAACACAACGGACGATCTGCCCCACCACGAAACGAATCGAGCAGGTCACAAGATTCTAGAACGATTTTGAATGACTAGAGGCTGAAGAGACGGTGAGAAAGAAAGGACTGAGGCTAATTGACAGGATATCACTCATATCTTGGCTTTGAGTTTGCTTGAATTTGGTCGTGATCCGTCAGGTCCTTGTTGGATGATTGTGTATCACTTGTCATGATGCAAGATAAGAGTTTGATGCGCAATTACTATTACACGGCCACAAGATGAAACTACTACAGTGATTGATATTATCTACCTGAGCCAACTGATATATATCATTCAGTCTTGAATAAGGTTAGAACATGATGCTTCAGTAAGTTCCAGCTGCTTTTAAAAGTTACATATCAAACTCTAGGTTAACCTCATGCAAGAAAACGTCCTGTAATAACCTAAAACTTTGACGCGCTGTGCACCTGCAGCATCGTTAACCCAAAACGGCCCCGTGATTGAAGACAGGGCTTTCGTTCGACAGTTGGGCTCATCCAATCACACAACGCGCTCAAGGCCTTAGCGGCTCTAACAGCGTGTATCCCAACCTCGAGTGGCTGGTCTCAGTTGCGGGAGTGGGTCTCGGGGCGCTTTGTTTACTTTCGCCCAAAAACAGTCAAGACCCCGGCCTCTTGTTTCCCGTCTCTAAACACGGGCAGACAGCTTCATAGGTACTTCTTTCAGCAGGCCTCTCTTTCTCTCCGCCAAAACATTGTCACTTTTCTATTCCTACATCTCCATATTGGGCATCTTCTCTTCTTCCACGTCGCGTTCTGCCTAGCAGATGTATACCCAATACAAGTCAACATAGCATTGACTTCTTCCCAAACCCCTGACCAAACGAACACGCCGTTTTTACCATAACTATACGCGCGCCGCGGGTGCTATAGCATCCTCGCCTAACATCGTCTAATTTCCAAGCTCTTCACCAAATACAAATACACGCCCACAGCGCGTGAGAAGGAGCTATGGAGGTCGACGCCGCAAGCAGATATCGATCCCGCATTCTTAGAGAAATGAAAGCAAACCGCGACAACCCTTTCAACTCACCACCCTCATCAACTGGCTCTCACGGCACTGTCAGCCCTACGCTGTCTTCAGTCTTCTCCGACCCGGACGGCGAGTCCACAAGAAGACTTAACGAGGATATTGCTCGCGTCACTGCCCCTCGCAACCTCCCCGTCAACTGGGAGGCTGCCCATCGCAAGTGGCCCGAGTTCTTTGGCATGCCCAAGTCGACCCGCGAGGTGCCTGTCTACGACGATAACACTGACACTCGGCCTATGAGTGCCGAGTCCAAGGAGAACAAGCCTCCTGCCGCAGGAATCAAGTTCGCCATTGACGACATCACACAAGACACCTGGCAAGGTTCCGCTAGAACGCGTGCTGAGATGCAGCCTCGCGTCGATAACGAGTCCGATCTGTCTTCGATCCTCTCCAAGTCTCCTAACCGGGCCCTTTCTTACCACTCTTGGAAGAAGAACACACACAACCCTAGTCCATTGTCCAAGGTCCATAAACGAACATCATCCGAATCAATGGCCGCACAAGAAAAACAACGGCGGGAGACCATCTCCGAGGCATTTGACCGTCTACGCAACAGTGCAAAGAGCCCCGAGCTTCGGGATCAGAATCAGCAAAACAAGTCTTCACCACAAATGTCTTCAGCCAAGTCCAGCTTGACCGCTGTTCCTCCTTCACCCGCCTCAATTGCCAGCCCGGCACAAAACGAAAGCAATGGTCGCTCTTTCTACCTACCTGACATCTCACATCTTGGTGACTTTGTTGATGGCACTCTTCAATTCAGTGGCTCAATGCGGAATGGTGTTCCCATTTTCGTCAAGAATGGCAGAGTTCATGATCGTTATGAGAAGCCGTCACTCTCGGCTCATGCCGAAGTGGATGAAGTTGAGGTGCCAGAAGATGAAGAGAAGATCTTTGTTTCGATGGATATGATCCGCGAAGAAATCATCTCTCTCCAAGAGCACTATGACAAGGTTCAAGAGTATGCCGAGAACCTGCAGCAACAGGTTGAGCAATTGGAGGCTCAACTCAAGTCACGAAAGTCATATGGCGATGACTATGATTCTACTCGGGCCAACGAGAAACTAATGGCCCAAAAGAACCGTAAGTCCCTGATCATGGCTTTCTAAGCGCGCTACTGACTCATTTTAGGTCTGGAAGTTGAGGTTTCCACTCTCCAATCTCGCTTGGAGCAAGCCTCGCGCAAGATCAGCTTGAACGAGATTGAAAACGACTCTTTGGCTCAAGAACGGGACCGTGCAGTGAGGAAGCTCCAAGAGGCTTGTGAAGATATCAACAAGCTCACTCGCAAGCTGAGCACGAAACAGAAGGAATTAGAGACAACACACAAGCAGCTCGAGTCGACAGAGCAAATTCGTAATGAGAACGACACCCTCCGACGAGATCTGATGTCTCTGAAACATGGTCGTGATTCGTTGGATCTTGAGAACAAGTCCCTCTCTGCTGCCAATGATACTCTACGAAAGGAGCATGAGACCATGAAGGAGGAGATTGAGTCCCTGCGGTCCGACAACAATACAGTCAGGCGTGAAAACCAGTCCTTGATTGGCGAGAACCGTTCTCTACGAACCACGAACAAGACTCTAACGGATGAGAACGAGGAGCTCCGCGAAAACCTTGACGGACTTCAACATGAGCTTGAAGCAGCGAGGGAAGAGGTTGAAGCGCTTCAACAAGAACTCCAGAATGTGTCTCAAGAAAAGTCCACGCTCAGTGAGGATAACGCAAGCCTGGTGCGACACAATGAAAAGTACTTTGAAGAGAACAAGGTTCTTCGACGCGAGAATTCGGGCTTTGAGCGAAGCATTCATGATCTTCACGACGAGAATGTGAAGCTCAAGGATGAGGTTGATTTCCTCAAGCAGCAGTTGGAGTCTTTCCGCCCGGTTCCCAAGGAGGACTTTTCTGCCCGTCTTGATGACGAGACAGAGGAGAACATGACCTCGGCCTTCTTCATTCCTGATATCACCATCAACAGCAACACTGGTGACGTTGATACTGCCGAGAACGCCCAAGCTACCGAGACCAAGGAGATTACCGAGCCAATCGAGGATAGCGGCAGATTGCCAACAATTCCTGATCTCACCGAAGAGGAGACTCGCACACATACTAAGCGTGACATGACGTCCCAAAGCGAAACCAGGCATTCTCAGAGCAAGAGCAAGAGCTCCAAGTCTGGCAATCAGCAGAAGGTTGCTTTCTCGATCCCTAGCAAGTCTTCTAAGAAGAGCAGCTCCAATGTCGCAAACCAGGGCAGCAAGCGCCGAACCACTTCCGACTCCAAGAGACGCTCCTCTATGAAGGGCATTGCAACATATGACATGGACACCCTGGAGGACAACGATGAGACCACTGGTCTACAATCGGTTGAGAATGCTACGCAGGACAACTCGACGCAGCTGAGCGTCGTGCCCAAGACACGTAAGGAGGCCAAGGGTTCCGAGCAGAAGCAGTCGAACACTCAGAATACGACAGTACAGAGTGAAAGGTCACAGCACAGTCGATCTCACTCCCGATCTTTACGCAAGCAGATCACGACCGACATCACCTCTGCTAGCATCAAGAGCGTTGACAAGGATACGTGCCCTGTCCTCTCCAGCGATGCCAAGAGAGTGCTTGATGACCTATGCGAGCATGAGTGCCGTAACTGCACAGTCTGCAGCCGAATCACATCTCACCGTAACATCTTCACGTCCGCTGATATTGCCGCCGGCAAGAAGCGTGTTACCGTTCCCCGACCAGTTCCTGTCACCGACCGTGACTTGTCGGTAGAGGACCCTACCATGCGGCCTACTCAACACCCTGGACATGCTCTTGCTGTGGTTATCAAGGGCTTGGAGGATGAATCTCATCACCTCCAGCTTGAGCTCACCCGCATTCAGGCGCAGTACAATGGTCGTGATAAGGCCTTGGGTCGCCGTGAGCGTCTCAACCTTGCCGAGACCATTCGCACACTTCTCAAGCGACTTGAGGCAAAGAACGACCAAATCTACAGCCTTTATGATGTCCTTGAGGGTCAGAAGGCCGCCGGCCAGGCTATGTCAGAGGAGGAGATTGAGATGACTGTTCTAAACATCACAGGCATGACTGTCCGCGATGTCACTAGTAACAGTGAACTTACATGGGAGGGTGTCCCTGAGTTATAAACAATTGTTGGCATGATATGAGGCGTTTTGAGGTTGCAGAATTTGAGATCAATCATGGAAAAAGGCGTTTTTGGCCACACAAAGGACTTTGGAATTAGGGGGATTGACCATCGCGGGTTAGATGGCATTACTCGAGGAGTTTGGAATTATTAGGCCCTTCCGATCAGTGTATTGTGGTTTCTTATACAAGCATGTATGACTCGCTGGTCTTTGGCGAGAATGACTCTGAAAGCATTTTTGACTTGAATCACTTATATCCCGTTGCACACTTGTTTAATTAATCTTGTGATAGCCGCAGTGAATTGGAACAGAAAAGGTAGGTATCCTTGATTCAGGTCTTTAACAAGTAAGAAGAAATTACATCCGTTTTTGCACACCATCCCAGGAAAAAAACAAGTACTTATATCTACTCTTCATCATCCTCCTCGTCGTC